GTATTGAGAATAACTTAAATATGTTACTTAATGGGTAATTACAAATTTATGACATAATAAGGGTGAGAAAGAGCTCCATATCTTTAATAGAAGAAAAGCTGAACTAGTGCAAAGATTTCACACTAATTATTCTATATGCTAAGATGGAGAATTGGATAGAAGAGTATCTTTTTTTTTTTTAGAAGAGTATCTTTTAAAATAGACTTTACTTATTTTTTTTAGTTTCAAGTAGGTAAGTCTTCAGGGGCTTTTTTTTGTATTTGTCTCATATCCTGGTAACAAACAGTACTTGGCACACAGAAGGCACATGATCAATTTTAAAATAGAAACCTTAAGAGTCATTCTCAACTCATCATTTATCACATCCGATTTGTCGCTAGGCCCTGTAGATTTTACTTCCAGCATCTTTTGAATCCGTTCTCTTTGAACACTTTTATTTCCATTGCCTTATTTCAAGCCTTTAGTTTTTAACCCAGTTACTACAATACCCTTCTAATCTACATTTTCTTAAAAGACTTAAGTTCTTAAAGCATTTCACATCAATCCCTAAAAATATCCATTGCATATGAAAAGGGTCCTTAAACTTCTAGGTGGTGGTTTAGTCTCTAAATCGTGTCCAACTCTTGCAACCCCTTGGACTATATCCTGCCGGGCTCCTCTGTTCATGGGATTTCCCAGGCAAGAATACTGGAGTGGGTTGCCATTTCCTTCTCCAGGCGATCTTCCCGACCCAGAGATGGAACCAGGGTCTCTTGCATTGCAGGCAGATTCTTTACCAATTGAGCCACCGGGGAAGCCAAACTTCTAGAGGAGGCAGCAAATCATACTGTTCTTTGAGTGTAGACTGTAAATAAAAGACCATTTGAGAAAATCTGAAGTGTTTAGGATTGGTCAAGATGCTGCTGCTGCTGCTAAGTCGCTTCAGTTGTGTCCGACTCTGTGCGACCCCATAGACGGCAGCCCACCAGGCTCCCCCGTCCCTGGGATTCTCCAGGCAAGAACACTGGAGTGGGTTGCCATTTCCTTCTCCAATGCATGAAAGTGAAAAGTGAAAGTGAAGTTGCTCAGTCGTGTCTGACTCTTTGCGACCCCATGGACTGCAGCCTACCAGGCTCCTCTGTCCATGGGATTTGCCAGGCAAAAGTACCGGAGTGGGTTGCCATTGCCTCCTCTGTGGTCAAGATGAGGCAAAGGTTAATGAAATGACCCTTCACATTCTGGATGGGAAACTATCAGTCCATGGTCTGTAGTCATAAAATGGTCAATGAAGTCAGGATCAGAAGTTATCATTTTGATTATCACACATATTAGGACCACGTGTGTGCCTGGTTGTGTGTAGTACCATCTGGAATCACCTGGTCTTATCGAGTTGTGGAGTGACCTAATGAAAGCTCAGCTATACTGCCAGGTGAATGGCGACATCCTGAGCAGTTAGGGGGTATGTCTTTCTGGATGAAGTTGATATTTGGAATTAAAAATGTCTTTAAAAAATGTCTTATTTTTCTCATAGGAAAATTACACTGGTTCAGGGATGAAATGATTCATTCTCAGTCTTATGGGAAGGTTTAGGGTTCAAGGGAAGAATGTTCCTATTAGGGAACACAATCACAATTCCACTGATTTGTATCTAAAGATACAAATCATATTCCCATTTGATTTCAAGAATCAATATTTTTTCTCTTTTTCTACTTCTGTGTAGAGCATGTAGGGATCGAGGAATGGTCATCACCTCAAGACCCCTGACATGGAAAACAGTGGTCCTCATGAGCTGGAGCTCTGCTTGCTTCTCATCTGATAAGCTGGGCACTGAAATCTGCTGCTTGTGTACCTGGGCTCTTGCGGTTTTCAGTGACCAACAGTTTTGTTCTTAGTTTTGACTCAGGCCTTTTTTGGGCAACTAGCGTCTTCCACCCATGTTTCTGACTCCTTGTCCAGTGTTACTTGTCAGGCAAAAAATATTTACAGGTGACCAAAGGCATAAAAAGACTTCCTGGAACTGTTTTTGCATAGCACTGAAAGCTGATAGCTTCTCCCCAAATGTACTGACTTAATATAAGTGCTATTAGGAAGGAGACTCTTGCTGTCTGCTAAAAATGGGACGACCATCATTACCCCATAACTTCAGTGAGTTCCTGTGCTTTTTTTCTCTCATTCTATAATGGGCATTTTATCAGTTCCTAAATGTACTTCTTCCTACTGTTGAAATGCATGAATGCAAAGTGGTATGACCCGGATAACCACAATAGTGCGGTCACTCACCTAGAACCAGACATCCTGGAATGCAAAGTCAAGTAGGCCTTAGGAAGTCTTTCTACAAAGCTAGTGGGGGTGATGGAATTCCAGCTGAGCTATTTAAAATTCTAAAGGGTGATGCTTTTAAAGTGCTGCTCACAATATGTCAGGAAATTTGGAAAACTCAGCAGTGGCCACAGGATTGGAAAATGTCAGCTTTCATTTCAATCCCAAAGAAGGGCAATGCCAAAGTATGTTCAAATTACCATACAATTGCACTCATTTCACATGCTAGCAATGTGATGCTCAAAATCCTTCAAGCTAGTGGCGCTGGTGGTAAAGAAACCATGTGCCAATCCCGGACTTGCAAGGGATGCAAGTTTGATCCCTAGGTGGGGGAAGATCCCCTGGAGAAGGAAATGACAACCCACTCCAGTATTCTTGCCTGGGAAATCCCATGGACAGAGGAGCTCGATGGGTCTCAGTTCATGGGGTCGCAAAGATTCAGAGACCACTGAAGCGACTTAGCACAGCACACAGGCTTCAGTAGTATGTGAACTGAGAACTTCCAGATGTACAAGCCGAGTTTTCAAGAGGCAGAGGAACTAGAGATCAAATTGCCTACATTCGTCGGATCATAGAGACAGCAAGGGAGTTCCAGAAAGATATGTTTCATTGACTGTGCTAAAGCCTTTGACTGTGTGGATCACAATAAACTGTGGAAAATTCTTAAAGGGACGGAGTACCGGGTTACCCTACCTGTCTCCTGAGAAATCTGTAGGTAGGTCAAGAAGGAACAGTTAGAATCAGACATGGAACAACTGGTTCAAAATGGGAAAAGGAGTATGACAAGGCTGTATATCGTCACCCTGCTTATCTAGCTTATATGCAGAGTACATCATGCGAAATGCAGCCTGGTGACTCACAAGCTGAAATCAAGTGCTGGGAGAAATTTCAGCCACCTGAGATATGCAGATAATACCACTCTAAGGGCAGAAAGTGAAGAGGAACAAAAGAGCCTCTTTGATGAGGGTGAAAAGCTGACTTAAAACGCAACAGTCAAAAACCTAACATCATGGCATCCAGTCCCATCAGCTCATGGCAAATAGAAGGGGGAAAAGTGGAAGCAGTGACAGATTTTATTTTCTTGGGTTCCAAAATCACTGCAGACAATGATTGCAGCCATGCAATTAAAAGATGCTTGCTCCTTGGAAGGAAAGCTATGACAAACCCAGACAGTGTATTCAAAAGCAGAGGCATCTTTTTAATATGTGACAAAGTCAAAGCTATGGTTTTCAGTAGTCATGTACGGATCTGACAGGTGGACTGGAAAGAAGGCTGAGTGCCAAAGAATTGATGGTTTTGAACTGTGGTGCTAGAGCAGACTTTTGAGAATCCCTTGGAGAGCAAGGAGCTTAAACCTAAACCTAAAGGAAATCAACCTGACATATTCATTTGAAGGACTGTTGCTAAAGCTGAAGCTCCAACAGTTTGGCCGCCTGACTCACTGGGAAAGACTTGGGACTCTGGGAAAGACTGCAGGTGAAAGGAGAAGGGCTGCATCAGGGGATAAGATGGTTAGAAAGTATCACTGACTCAATGGCCATGAATCTGAGTAAACTCCGGGAGATAGTGAAGGACAGGGGAACCTGTCATCCTGCAGTCCAAGGGAACACAAAGACAAGACTTAACCACTGAATGACAACAACACTGTTGAGGGGGAAAGATCCAGGTATGTTTGGAGAATGCCTGATACAACAGAAGTGAAGACAAACAGCATGACAAGTTAAAACTGTTTCATTGCTGTGGAATATCTAAACTGCACTCTCTCCTCTGCACTGGCCATAGTATTATTGTTTGTAAAATAATATTATGAAATGCAGATACATTTGTTTAACCACTTTGGGCAGTTAAGACACAAGTTGCAAGTACAAGCTTCTTTCTTGTAAATGTCAAGCGGGCTACTAACTCAATGTGCCAACAACCCAAAGGGTTCTGAAAGCGCTCTGAAAGCACTGTGAGGAGGCAGGGGCCCTGGCTCAGATTAGCTTGGTGACCTACACTCGCTGGACCTCCTTTTCCTCTCTGTAAAATGGGGAAGGTCTGGATAGTCTCTGGATCTGGATATTCTCTGGACTGTGCCTTAGTCACTCAGTCTTGTGCGATTCTCTGTGACCCCATGGATTGAAGCCTACCAGGCTCCTCTGTCCATGGGATTCTCCAGGCAAGAATGCTGGGGTGGGTTTCCATGGCCTTCTCCAGGGGATCTTCCAGACCCAGGGATCGAACCCAGGTCTCCCTCATTGCAGTCGGAGTCTTTACCGTCTGAGCCACCAGGGTATACCTGAGTCCAGTCACAAAAGTGCCAGAAAGGCCCTCGGCCACCCACCTTTACCGGTGAGGATTGGGGGAAGGGCCCCAGCGGCGGACTTGTCTCCTGGGGGCGGGCGGAGGGCCCGGAGCGCCAGCCGTGGGCGGAGCCACCCCCGCCGGAGCCGCCTTCCTTCCTGCCCGCGCAGCCCCAGGCGCGCTCGCCAAACACTCCGGCCAGCCCTCAGCTCCCAGCACTCTGGTTCCAGGGCGGCCCGGGGCGGGGGACGCGGTTGGCGGCGACACCGGAGGGGGGCCGGGTGGGCGGGTCAGGAAGTGGGGGCGCGGCGGCCCGGGAGCGGGCCTGAGGAGAGCCGCGGGGCTCGGCTTCGCGGAGGCTGGAGACGCCGGGCGGTGTGGGAGCCCCGAGGGGAGCACCCCCGGCCTCCGCGGGGACGATGGCGGAGGAAGAAGGTGACCGGCCCCGGGGTCCGGCGCGCGTACGGCCGCCAGAGATCGCGGGAAATGAGGGCCGAGAGACCGGGGCGGCGGGTGGCCGCGGCTGTCCGGCGGGAAGGAGCGGGCCCGCGGCGAGGCGGGCGGGAGGTGTGCGGAGACCTCGAGAGGGAGCGGAGTGGACGGCCTGAAGTCGTGCTGGCTCGAGTGGGAGGCAGAAGCGGAGCTTGAAGTTGAAAATCGGGTCGCGGGAGAGAACGCCGTGGGGGGAGTGGCTGAGAGGCAGGGCCGGGAGCTGCTGGTGAGCGGAGCGGGGGACGGACTCGGGTTGAGAAGATGTCGGTGCGAGTGCTGAGTGTCTCTGCCGGAGTGAAAGTCTTGTAGCCGAGTGCCCCTCAGGCTGAGTGCGCTCCTGAGAGGTCTGTGGGTGCTGACCAGGTCACCCCCGGGTAAGGGGAGCCGCACGCCAAGGCGGGGGACAGAAAGAGGCAAGGGTTCGGGATGAAAGTGGTAAGTGAGGTGGATGGGAGGAGACGAAGAAGCAGAAACGGAAGAGAAGGTCACCAGTTTCATTTGCGGGTTAGGGGGCGAAGGCCCAGGGAGAAGGAGTGAGTGGCTTTGGGGGGGATCCGGACCGCGGAGTGCTTTGAGGGTGAAAGAAGGTGGGCTGGAGAAAGCTTTTCATGTCTTCGGGGCCACTGCCAAGACAACTCACTCAGTCTTGATTCACAGAAGTTGATAGGTATGAGAGAAAAATGGGGAGCTGGGGCGGAACTTCGCCAGCGAGAGGTGTTCTAGGAAACATTTGTGTCACATGTTCATAATAGGCATGGTGCTTTCAGGCATAGATAATAATGGTATCGCCTGATTGAGCAGTTAGGCTTTTCCTTCTGAAAAACATGACTTTTTAACCCTGTCGAGGAGGGTTGTGAACGTGATCTGTTTAGACTGAAGCCTTGCTAAACCGGGAATGCAAGAAGGGAGTCTGAAGAATTCAGTGGAAAATAGTTTAAAAAAAATAATTTTAAGAATTGTTTGCTCTGTGACTTGCGGCTCTGTTCCTGCACTCACTCTTGCTTCATATTTGCCTCCTCCTCAAGTTTTCTGGGTTAAAACTGGTCTAACTTAAGACACTGTACCTAAAAACGGCTTCAAACTAAACTCTTGTAGTTGGTAAGGAGGAATGTGTTTCTGTTTGTTACCTTGGTTTTATCTTTGGTTCCAGTATATGTGATACATTTTTAAAATATTTTTTACTTTTCTGACTACCTGCAGATCTCTGGGGGTGGGTTGATAAGCTCACTTATATGTTTCCATGAGCACTTAAAGCATAAAAAATTTGAAACTGCAGTATTAAAAGTCTTTAATACTATATATCATGCTAATGAGGAATTGTTTTAAGAGGTTAAAGTTAGACCTAAATAGATATGATGTGGAACCAGTTATGATTTCATAAGCCATACAAGTTTATGAAATTTATTTCCATGATATAAAGTGAAAAATGACTTTTGTTTGTAGAAGGACAGATAATCCAAAGGAGTGAAATACATCTTACTTGGAATAATTAATGCATTGAAGTTTTGTTAAGTTATAGTTTCATTCAACAGACTTTTAATTCCGTAAATATTTGGCTGTCTAATATATTAGGTGTGCTTCCCCAGTGGCTCAACACGTAAAGAATATGCCTGCAATGCAGGAGACACAGGAGGTAGGGGTTTGATCTCTGGGTTGGGAAGATTCCCTGGAGGAGGATATGACAACCCATTCCAGTATTCTTGCCTGAAAAATCCCATGGACAGAGGAGCCTGGAAGGCTACAGCCCAAAGGGTCACAGAGAGTCAGACATGACTCAGCACAGCAACAACTAGTAATTAAATTCTTATTTATTGTAATCTAGTAATGATATTTATAGTAAGCATGTCTATGTGCTAGGCATTTTTCTGAGTACTTTGTGTTTATTAGGCACTCCATACTTTTTTTCAAAATGCATGTTATTTGTATTCACTCTATTAAAATTTGACTAAATAGTCTATTTTACTTGTATCCATATGTTCTCTATATTGCTTTTTAGCTTATCATTCACTTCACTTGGACCCTTTTCTTTGTCCCACGTTTTTTCTAGGTAAATACTCTTTGGGAATCTCATCTTCTCTTGATGCTGTAGAGAGTCATGGTATTATATTTGTATTTCCTGGAAGAAATGTTAGAGCAAAGAAAGTGACAGCCTTGAGTAGAGCAGTATTCACACTTCTCTTGGGAATTGCTATGTATAGTCTAGATGGACATTTGAAAGCCTGTTTGTAGCCCTGTTAACTGTATGATGTGAAGATCACAGAGCCAGAGACTGGAATAGTAGGTTGTTCCTGTGGCTCTGTTACCATTTTTATTTACTGGACTTTTTCTTTACAATGCTAAAATTATAAGATAGCGAAAAGAAAACTTGAATTCTATCCCAGAGCTTTCCTATCAGGATGAATAATCTGGTTTATCCACTGCTTTGGTCTTTGTTGCTTATCCACCTAGAGATTCTAGCTTTGTCAATTATGAACTTAAAAGATCAACATATAGAAAATGAGGTAAAATTTGCATCCAGTCAGTTTTGTTTTATAGTCACAGGCAAAAAGTTCAGGAACAAGATTGAAGAGATTGGTTAAAAAGCTTACTCTGTTTCCTAAGTAGTACTTTTTGCTCCCACAGTTTAATGCCACTGAAATTGGCATGTCTTAGAATCAGTGCATGTATTAAATATAGTAGTGTTTTTTTTTCCTCTTGAAAAACTGTTATTAAATAGTGTCTTAAAATATATGACACTTTAGAATCAAGAAAATAGTACTGGAATTCCTTGGAGGTCCATTGCTCAGGACTCCGAGTGTCCACTGCAAAGGGGCATGGGTTTGATCTCTGGTCAGAGAACTAAGATCCCACAGCCTGTGCAGCATGGATGCAAAAAACAAAGAAATCGATGTGTGTGCACACTCTATTAAAATCTCTGTAAAGTGATTCACTGTATAGAGACAGTTTTTTTAAAAGAAAAATGGTAACTTTTTGTGAAGAACGCTTTTCTGTGAATATCCTCATCCTTCCCAAGTTATCGTTATCTTAAATGCATACTTTTAGACTCTGTGTAATAAAAAAAGCCCTATAGCAACCCACAACAGTACTCTAGCCTGGAAAATCCCATGGACGGAGAAGCGTGGTAGGCTACAGTCCATGGGGTTGCAAAGAGTCGGACACAACTGAGTCACTTCACTTTTTCACTTTAACCCATTGGTCACATACTTTGTTTGTCTTGCCTGGTTGCTCAGATAGTAAAGAATCAGCCTGCAGTGCAGGAGACTCGAGTTTGATCCCTGGTTCAGGAAGATCCCCTGGAGAAGGAAGTAAGCACTCCAGTATTCTTGCCCGGAGAATCCCATGGACAGAGGAGCCTGGTGGGCTGTAGTCCACCAGGCCGCAAAGCGTTGGGTACAACTGAGCTACTAACACTTTTAACTTTCAGTAGATTTGTTTACTTGATTTCTGAAATTACCCAATTACTTAAAAAAAAAATCTAATACTATTAACGTGTTTAATCGTGGATGTGTGTCTACTAAATAAATGTCTTGTGGTTAAATTTTTTTCTTATATTCTTTCTAAAATTTTTTGTGTATTTATTTTATTTTTGACTGTGTTGGTTCTTCGTTGCTGGGCAAGGGCTTTCTGTGGTTGTGGGGTGCAGGGCTACTCTCTAGTTGTGGTGCACGGGCCTCTTATTGTGGTGGCTTCTCTTGTTGTGGGGCGTAGGCTCTAGGATGCCCGGGCTTCAGTAGTTGTGCACAGCCTTAGTTGCCTCACAGCATGTGGGATCTTCCTGGACCAGGGACCTAACCCATGTCTCCTGCATTGGCAGGCAGATTCTTAACCACTGGACCACCAGGGAAGCCCTGTGTCCTTTTTCAATAAAATGATCGCTTGCATCAGAAGACTTTGTTTGGCTTTACATAAATTTTCATTCTTGTTGACTGCTTCTAACTTTTGCTTTAACCCATAGGAAAATTAAAAGGAAATCATAAATGAGGACTATAATAGTATTTATTAGTTGTCCCAGATTTGTATGCAAAAATGCTGGATATCCATGGTATGACTTCTAATAATGTCATTTTCTAATATGTTCACTGACTTTGCTACTTAACATGATTATAAAATAAAGAATAAATGATATAAAAATGGTTAAAATTTAGCCTAGTCAGACAGAATCCACTAAGTATACAGTATTTTTTCTCTCAGTATGTCAGTGTTAAAAGACATTTTAACAAACATACGAATTTGCTTTGAAGCTCTTTTAAAATAAATTTTATTCATTTTCCACAGTAAAGTTAGAATTAGCCATCTGATAATCAGCAATAGTAGCTGATTCATTTGTCCTTTTTTGACTTCCCTTTTTAGACTCATTTTTCTATCCTTAAGCTATTATGAAGAGAAAAGAAAAAAAAAACCCTGCTTCTATAGGAAAGAGAAATTCTTATACCACCTTAAGCCTTGACAGCCCATGATAGTGTCCTATATCTACATGACACTGTCTACCTCATAATTAACTAGGGAGGAAGAGTAATTACGGAGAATATAGTAAGTTCTTGTTTAATTTGGAATCTGGTTTACTGATTTAAAAGTACTTTCTGCATTACATTTTTTTTTTAAATTGGTTGTAGAAATAGTAGATAGTGTAATATGGGAAAAATTTCTGAAAGCTTCCCAAATAGAGGGATTTTTATAGGTTCAGCCTATTTTCTTTTATTTATTTATTTTCCATTTATTTTTATTAGTTGGAGGCTAATTACTTTACAATATTGTAGTGGTTTTTGCCATATATTGACATGAATCCGCCATGGATTTACATGTGTTCCCCATTCCGATCCCCCCTCCCACCTCCCTCTCCATCCCATCCCTCTGGGTCTTCCCAGTACACCAGCCCTGAGCACTTGTCTCATGCATCCAACCTGGGCTGATGGTCTGTTTCACCCTTGATAGTATACTTGTTTCAATACTGTTCTCTCTGAACATCCCACCCTCGCCTCCCACAGAGTCTAAAAGTCTGTTCTGTACATCTGTGTCTCTTTTTCTGTTTTGCATATAGGGTTATCGTTACCATCTTTTTAAATTCCATATATATGCATTAGTATACTGTATTGGTCTTTACCTTTCTGGCTTACTTCTCAGCCTATTTTCTGATACCCAAACCTCTAAGACTGTTGAATGATAATGATAACACAGCACTGTGAAATTCTGTAGAACCTTCAGGATGAAAAAAAATGAAGTATAATTTTATGATCAATTTATTATATTTTTATTTTTAAAAAATTGTTATTTCATGAATAATGCATATGATACTCTCAGGTAACTTGACAAATAAGCCAATTTATTAAATAACACTTTGTTCTCCAGTCATTCTGGAAAAGAGTTTACTTATTTTAGGATGTTTTGAAAATAGCATCATCTCAAGAGAAGAGCTAAGTTTATCAATAAGACTTTGAAAGCATGGATTGGAGGCAGAACTTATATTGTCTTTTGGTTTGTAGGAATGTATGTTTTGCAGGGAGTGCTAAAATAATTATGAAAAGAGTTATCTTTGGTACTAATAGTTCTTCATGGGACTTTTGCCTTAGTATAATAAAGGTAAATCAGTTCAAGATATAGACAGAATAATTTGTTACACACATTGCAATAACTTCTCAAATCTTTTAAGGACCTACTGTAGAACTGCGCCAAAGAAAAAAGCCAAAGTCTTCAGAAAATAAAGAATCTGCCGCCAAAGAGAAAATCAATGACACTCCAGTTCCTGAAAGAGCTCCAAAACGTAAGTTAGATTTGGGGAGTTTTTTTTTACTATTATAAAAATAGTTACATTAGGTAGTATCTGTACAGTAATATTTTAAATTATAAATATATTTTGTCTTAAGTATGTGGTGATATCAGTCAGCTTTCATTACGTTTTGCTATAGAATAATTCCTAAGTGTCACTGGCTTACAAAAAGCATTTATTTCTGATTAACTTGCGTATTGTGGCTGTCGGTTGGTTGATGAAGCTTCATGTGTTCTGAAGGAACAATCTCTATTTGGGATATGTTCTTGTGGCAGAGAAAAAGAGCAGGAGACAGGCAGAGTCATGCAGTACCTCTTAAAGGTTTTGCTGAACTGCATACTGTCACTTGTACTTGCATGCTGTTGGCCCAAAGAAGTCTTCCAATCAATCCAGGCAGTGGGGTGGAGAAGTTTATTCTGACTACAAGGATGCATGGAAAGTTACGTGGTAATGGGCAGGGATGAAAAATCTTTACAGGAAAGGACAAGGTAGTTGGAAGTAATAATAATAGTCTACCACATTCTGGCCTTTTGGTCGTAAATATTTACTTCTCTCCCTCAGATAAAATACACTTGGTATCTCCCCGACTCCAAGGAAGATGCTCAGTCTTACCTAGTGAGGGCATCAGTCTTGAAGCCTAAGGTCATCTTATCAGGATCTGTTCAGGGTCATCTCTGACTCATTCTGATCCAGAGGCCGAAGAATGAAAAAAACAAGTTACTTGCTCTGTGTCAGGGTTCCCCAAACCCAGTCCTGTGTTCAGAGATTGAACAATACAAAACAAAATCAGCGAAGGGAAAAGGCATATGGGCTGAAGTCTGCAAGAAACTAGGCAAAATCTTCCAGGACACATAGGACATGCATAATTCCTTCAGCCTCAATTTGTGGCATTTGTAGTTTTGTCTGCCTGGGAAGCTTATTAATAACTTTGCTCAGGATTTTTAGTGGTGGCTGATCATGTAACCTCTGCTTAATGCATGCAAAAGTTCTAAACTCCTAGAAAGAAAGCAGTAGGTGTGAAGCTTACTGTTTGCACAAATAAGTTAGACACAGTAAACCGTTAATTAGAAAATGATGGGAAACCTTGTGAAATCCAGGTTCCCAGAGACCTACCAAGAGCCTAGCTGTTAAGCAGGCTTTTCTTAGCAAAGCAGTTATAAGCCTGCTATGGTAATCTTTTCTGTACATGCCCCCTTTTCTGTTATACATTTTTGGTTGGAGACAGGATAACCAAAATAAATGCTTCCATTCAGAAAGAGGAAGAGTGAGAGACACATTAAACACTGGTCCACAGCAATTTTGAAATCCTACTAGGTAAGTATGAGGTCTTCCTCCTCTGGGGAAGGGAATGTTTCTTGATTAGGCACTAGCTGTTTTCCTTGGGGATAGTTTCCCAGTTCATTGTTCTTTGTGGTCCTTGGCTTTATTCTCTGAAGGCCCTTCCTTTTCCATTATCTTCCTGAACCATATCTGAAAGTGGCTTTGGAGAATATGTCATCCTTAGGAGCTGAACAGCTTTTACAATAGATTCCTCCCAAAGGAAGTTCAAAGCCACTTTATGTAAATTTGTTCAAATAAGATAAACATTTTGGGAGATGGAAAATAATAATCCATCATATGTGTGATAAATCATTTTATAAAACTGTTTCCTGTGAATAGTTGCAATTTTAGTACAGACTTTTGTTTTTATTCCTTTAAATAACAAGATCACAAAAGAGATTATAACTAGAGTACCTTGATTATGAACTGCTTTGATTGCAGGAAAAAGATCAATTAGAACAGAACTGGCCCATTTGCCAGCAGACATGAGGAGAAAAATAGGAGTCCAAAATTTCTGAGTCTTGTAGTGTTGAAGTTAGTATTATTTATCTTTTCAACTAGTAAAACATAAAATTGAGAAATAATTTGAGTAACAAAGGCTGATAAAGATGAATCCTTAGGGCAATGACCAAATCAAGGGCATGACTGGTCACATAGTCTGTTAAAATGTATGAGGTTTAAAGTTCAGTTCAGTAGCTCAGTCGTGTCCGACTCTTTTGCGACCCCATGAACCACAGCACACCAGGCCTCCCTGTCCATCACCAACTTCCAGAGTCCACCCAAACCCATGTCCATTGAGTCAGTGATGCCATCCAACCATCTCATCCTCTGTCGTCCCCTTCTCCTCCTGCCCTCAGTCTTTCCCAGCAGTAGGGTCTTTTCAAATGAGTCAGCTCTTCACATCAGGTGGCCAAAGTATTGGAGTATCAGCTTCAACATCAGTCCTTCCAGTGAACACCCAGGACTGTTCTCCTTTAGGATGGACTGGTTGGATCTCCTTGCAGTCCAAGGGACTCTCAAGAGTCTTCTCCAATACCATAGTTCAAAAGCATCAATTCTTCTGTGCTCAGCTTTCTTTATAGTCCAACTCTCACATCCATACATGACTACTGGAAAAACCATAGCCTTGACTAGATAGACCTTTGTTGACAAAGTAATGTCTCTGCTTTTTATTTTTTATTTTATTTTTTTTTGTCTCTGCTTTTTAATATGCTGTCTAGGTTGGTCATAACTTTCCTTCCAAGTAGTAAGCATCTTTTAATTTCATGGCTGCAATCACCATCTGCAGTGATTTTGGAGCCCCGAAAAATAAAGTCAGCCACTGTTTACACTGTTTCCCCATCTATTTGCCATGAAGTGATGGGACCGGATGCCATGATCTTAGTTTTCTGAATGTTGAGCTTTAAGCCAACTTTTTCACTCTGCTCTTTCACTTTCATCAAGAGGTTCTTTAGTTCTTCACTTTCTGACATAAGGGTGGTGTCATCTGCATATCTGAGGTTATTGATATTTCTCCCAGCAATCTTGATTCCAGCTTGTGCTTCCTCCAGCCCAGCGTTTCTCATGATGTACTCTATAGTTCCTAGTAACTCCTTTCAGTTGAATAAAGCACTCAGGAAAAGAAAAAAGGGTGTGGCTTTTGTGACAAATAAGCAAAGCTTGATTAGCTCAAAATACATGTAGTTAAATCTCTGAGAGAGGCATATCTAGAAGAAAAATTTTGGGTATAGTTATTGGAGAACAGAGCTGACTGGAATCAAGTAGGTTAAAAACCAATAAAATTGTTTTTTTCTTTGCAAAAATGAATGATTTAATTTTGTAAAATTAAGGTACAACTTACAATAAAATGCGCAGAATCATCAGTATTAAGTGAATTTTGGTACTTGAATACAATTAAGATACGTAGCATTTCCCTTATACCAGAAAGTTCTTTTGTATCCCTTTCCAGTAGAGTTCCCCTATACCCCCTAAAACAACCACTCTTCTGATATTTTTCAACATTGATTAATTTTGCATGTTGTAGAATTTCATGTAAATGGAATCACACAACATATATGCCTTTGTGTCTGGATTCTTTGGCTTAGTTCAGTATGTTTTCCTTAAAATGTAATCATTTTGAGATTCATTCATCTTGCTGTAAGGGTTTATTCCTGCTTTTCTAGTTTGATATTTGAGTAATTTCCAGGATTTAACTATTATGAATAAGGCTTCTATGAATACTTGTACTGGTCTTTTTGTGGACATCTATTTTTATTTCTCTTAGAGAAAGAAATGTCAAGCTACTCCAGTATTGTCTGGGAAATCCCATGGACAGAGTGGCCTGGTGGGTTACAGACCATAAGGTCACAAAGATTCAGACATGACTTAGTGACTAAATAACAGCAACAGCAATTTTTATTTCTCTTAGGTAAATACCTAGGCAAATTGTCAGCTAAGCGTAGAGAGACATACTGTCAACAGAGCTGCCAGCCTAGGTTAAGAAGAACCCAACTATTCATGTCTTGAAATGATGTTTGAATCCCTAACTTTCTATGTTCAGGAAGCAGGCTGAGTAGGCTGCTCTTAGGGTATCTTTCTTGAGGAGCGAGTGTTTTTTGCCTTTGAAGGGAAGTAGATATTTGTGATGAATGGGGCAAACCCTGGTGGATTCTTCAATTGTTCTCTAATATTTTCTCCCTTCCCTGAAAATGCGTTACACGTTCCTTCCCATTACTGTGTTGATCTGGAGTGCCTCTCTGAAGCAAGTGTACTTCCCTACCCTGTTGTCAGATTTATATATGTGACTTGCCTGAGCCCATGGAGTGTGAGTTAAAGTAGCAGTATACTTGCTCTAATCAGAAATTGGAAGAGGCATTATATGTTTTTGCCTGTTCTGTTCTTTTCCTCTGTAATGAGAACAGCATGTCCCAAATAGGGACTGATTCCGTTCTGGAACTCTGAAGTTACAAGAAGAGCCACAGCTAATATAAAATCTGGAATTGAGTGGAGAGTGACTGCTGATCCAAAATCCATAGTAACATGAGTGAGAAACAAATATTTGTTTTCTAAGCCATTGGAAGTATGGGGGTCACTTTTTCACTACAGCAAAGCCAACTAATACAGTGATCATTTAAAATGTTTTGGAAAATACAGTATAAGCAATTATTCTATTAAGCAATTTAGAGATAGCTACTATAAAACAGTATTTTCCCCCAACTACAAAAATATATTTTTAGGATCGAAAATGTGAAAATAGAGAAAAGTATAATAAAAATAAAATATATGTGTAATTCTACTAGATAATAGCTATTATTATCTACTAGATAATAGCTATTAATTGATGCTTTTGAACTGTGGTGTTGGAGAAGACTCTTTGAGAGTCCCTTGGACTGCAGGGAGATCCAACCAGTCCATCCTGAAGGAGATCAGTCCTGGGTGTTCATTGGAAGGACTGATGCTAAAGCTAAAACTCCAATACTTTGGCCACCTGATGCGAAGAGCTGACTCATTTGAAAAGACCCTACTGCTGGGAAAGATTGAGGGCAGGAGAAGGGGATGACAGGATGAGATGGTTGGATGGTATCACCAATTCAATGGAAATGGGTTTGGGTAGACTCTGGAAGTTGGTGATGGACAGGGAGGCCTGGCGTGCTACGGTCCATAGGGTCGCAAAGAGTTGGACATGACTGAGCGACTGAACTGAGCTGAATAGCTATTATAATTTTGACAAGTATTGCTTATATTTTTTCAATGTATTTATACCTTTTTCTTTTGTTTATTTTACTTTTTGTGAAATTGAATACTATGTTTCTTTTTTATTTGGCTATGTGGCTTGTGGGATCTCAGTTTCCCAACAAGGGAGTTAACTTGGGACTGAAACATACAGAAGTTTTTTGATTAGGCCTGTTTGTGACTAATATAACTTACCTGGAAATCAATCCTTTATTTTCCAGTTTCCAATTTAAATGGTAATTTTTGTTTGTGGCCATGCTGCACAGCTTGCAGGATCTCAGTTCTCTAACCAGGAATTGAGCTCTGGTTGGGCCATGGCAGTGAAAGCCCGTAATTCTGACCACTAGACCACCAGGGAACTCCCATAATAATTTTTAAATAAATAATTTCCAGGACCCAGAGCTCCTTATTTTCTCTTAAACGTTTATACTTACACACTGAACACTGATAGCTTGATTCCAGCCTTGACTCTCCAGAATCTTCACACACAAAATAGTACCAAGGTAAGGCATTTATGGGCCTCCCTGGTGGCTCAGAGGTTAAAGCGTCTGCCTGCAATGCAGGAGACCTGGGTTTGATCCCTGGGTCGGGAAGATCCCCTGGAGAAGGAAATGGCAACCCACTCCAGTACTCTTGTCTGGAGAATCCCATGGAGAGAGGAGCCTGGTAAGCTACAGTCCGCGGGGTCGCAAAGAGTCGGACACGACTGAGCGACTTCACTCTCTCACTCTCTCTCAAGGCATTTATACGTAGGATTTGGTTAAATGTATTTTTTGTAATAGCCCTTGATTATCAGGATTAATTTTCATTGTCCAGGAATTACTTTAGAAGATACAGGAAAAGATACATGTTTAAAAACTGTATAGCACTTTTACCAAATTACCATGTTAGGTAAGTTTTCTTGTAGCCTTTTTATAGGTTACATTGTATCAACACTGCTTTAACTATCTATCTTATATATTTTTGCAAATAAGCTTTTGTAGCCCAATAAAAATAACTATTATTTATTGGTCTCTGAGCTTTGTGCCAGGGCAAATGCTTTCCATTTGCTATTGGAAACAGTAATTGTAAAATATTTGTGTCGTGCTGATTCTGTTTTTAAAATATTTATTTATATATTTATTTTCATCTTTGGTCAAGTCAAATAACTTGGGGGATCTTGGTTCCCTGACCGGGGATTGAACCCCACTGTTGGCAGTGAAAACAGAGTCCTAACCACTGAATCACCAGGAAATAGGTGCTATGCATACCAGTATTTATTAAATAATTTATTAAGCTGAAGTTTTAGTTTAGCTAAATTAATAAGTCAACAGGTTTGTTTTTACAAACCTGGCAATCATTGAGTAACATTAACACTGGGCATTGGACCTTGAGGCCTGGGCTTAATTTACTGAATCTTTTTTCCCCCCATAGTTTTATTGAGACATAATTGATATACAGCACTGTACAGGCATAATGATTTAACTTGCATAGATCATAGAATAATTATCACAAAAGTTCATTAGATATAGAATTAAAGAATAGAAATTACAGAATTAAAGAAATATAAAAATTTTTTTTCCTTGAGAACTCTTAAGCTTTACTTTCTTAACAGCTTTCATATATAACATAGCAGTATTAATTATATTTACCATATAGTACATAAGTACTTATATTTACCATAAGTACTAGGAGTACATTGCCTCCCTAGTACTTACTTATCTTATAGGTGGAAGTTTGTACATTTTGACTGCATTCATTCACTTCCCTCTTCCCCACCTGTCACCTCAAGCCTGATCTTTTCCTCTCTGAGTTTGTTTTTGAAGTATAATTGACCTACAACACTATGTTAGTTCCTGTTAAACAATAGTGAATCGATATTTCTATGGATTTCTAAATGATGACCACCGTAAGTCACCTTGCTATCTGTTACCATACAAAGATGTATTCTGTCACAGGGAGGAATTGTTAGCGAGTTTGAGATTGATGTGTACACACTGCTGTGTTTAAAATGGATAACCAACAAAGACCTGCTGCAGATCACTGGGAACGCCGCTCAGTGTTAGGTGGCATCCTGAAGGGGGGAGGAGGGTTTGGGGAAGGGCAGATCCATGTATGTGTATGTGTATGGCTGAGTTGCTTTGCTGTGTACCTGAAACCGTCAAAGCATTGTTAATTGCCTATATTCCAAAGTAAAATTAAAAGTTCGTTTAAAAAGCTATATAATCATTGACTATAGTCCCCACACTGTGCATTTCATACCTGTGATTCATTTATTTTGCAGCTAGAAGTTTGTACGTCATAATCCTCTTCACCTATTTCTTCATCTCCCCACCTCTCTGCTGTCTGGCAACCACCTTTTTGTTCTCTGTACTTGACTCTTTCTGCTTTATGTGTTTATTTGGTTTTTTTAGATAACACATAATAGGTGAAATCATATGGTATTTATTATTATTATACTGAATCTTAATAGCTCTAGAAGGGCTCAATCATCCTGTGTGTAGAAAATTCAAATGTGTTCTATGCTTTTGACAAGAAGTATTTACATACATATATATATGTAACAGTTGTGTATGATGTTTTGAATATATAATCATCAACAGTCATTATCTTGTATAATTTGAAGAGCTATAATTTGTAGTGTGTGAAGTATTCCTCAATAAAAAATTACTTGATAAGGAAAAAAAATAATAGTAATTCTAAATGAACTTGTATTTTTTTCTCTAGATATTTAGTAGTACATATCTTTTATTCCTTTTTTTAAATTGATAGACTTATTTATTTTTTTAAACTTTTTCTTTTGTATTAGAGTATAGCCAATTAACAAACAATATTGTGATAGTCAGGTGAAAACTGAAGGAATTCAGCCATAATATACATGAATCCATTGTATATTATGTATATCCGTAATATATATAATATATATGTATCCACTCTACCCTGATAGACTTTAATTTTAAAAACTATTTTTAATTTATAGAAGAATTGAGTAGATAGTATAGTAAGAGTTCTTATCTTGCATACCCCCTGATAAGAATTTTCCCTATTAGTAACATTTTATATTAGTATGGTTCATTTACTACAAATAATGAACCATTTTATTGATACATTATTTTTGTTTTAGCATCAATAATACATATTATTAATTTTATTAAGAGTATTGTTGCTTTCAGTTGCTTTAGATACATTTTTTTTTTTTTAAGTAGTTGATAGAATACTCCATATACTATCTTGTGTGCTCAGTTGCTCAGTCATGTCTGACTGTCTGCAACCCCATGGGCTGTAACCACCAGGCTCTTCTGTCCATGAGATTTCCCAGGCAAGAATACTGGAGTGGGTTGCCATTTCCTCTTCTAAGAGATATTCCCAGCCAAGGGATCGAACCCGCCTCTCTCACATCGGCAGGTGGATTCTTTACCACTGTGCCACCTGGGAAGCCCTCAATACATTATTTTTTTAACTAAAGCCCATACTTTCTTTAGTGTTCATCTAATGTCCTTTTCTGTTAAAAAAATAAGGGATCACATCCAGGATACTACATTACTTGTAGTTATAATGTCTCCATAGACTTTTCTTGGCTGTGACAATTTCTCAGACTTCCCTTATTTTTGATGACCTTGACAGTTTGGCAGAGTACTGACCAGGTTTATTGTAGGATACCCCTCTATTGGAATTTGACTGCTGTTTTTCTAGTGACTAGACTGGGATTATGTATTTTGGGTAGGAAGACCACAGAGTTAGAATGCCATTTCTGTCAAACCATGTCAAGGATGCATACTACCTTTGATTACTTTTTCTTTTTAATAGAATTGCATACATATAAATGTCATCCATCACTGATTACTTTTAATATGCCTTTTCAGATATATTATTTCAGCGCTTTGCAAAGATATTCATTGGCTGTCTTGCAGCGGTTACGAGTGGTATGATGTATGCTCTCTATTTATCAGCGTATCATGAACGGAAATTCTGGTTTTCCAACAGGCAGGTAAGAAGAAAGAATTTTGAGCATATGCTTCAATATTTAATACTAATGTTAAAAATATGTTTTCCAGGGAGCCAAAACATAAAAGCACATGGTAATATGACAGGTGTTTTCTTATGTTGTGGCTATAAGCCATTAGGAACAAAATGGTATAGAAGCTATTTTGAGTCATGATATCAACCTGAAAGGTATAATAGATTGTATTTCAAGGTCATAGATTAGAAACAATGAGGGTGCTTTTCTTCATGCAATTGATTTATCAGGGACTTAAAAAAATTTTTTTTTAATTAAAGGATAATTGCTTTACAGAATTTTGTTGTTTTCTGTCATACAGCAATAAGAATCAGCCATAGGTACACCCATGTCCCCTCCTTCCCATCTCCCTCCACATCCCACCCTTCAACCTGTCACAGAGCCCCTGTTCCTGAGTCACACAGCAAATTTATCAGGAACTTTTGATGACAGTGAAATGTTATAAAGTCTAGTCAGCTTCTTAGTAGTTTTGGTAGTTTACATTTATGAAATATTCTGTGGATGTTTCAGCATCAAAATATTTTAACTTTTGGATTACATGATTAGAATGTCTGGAGGTGCTGAAAATGATTAGCAGACATAATGGTATTTATTAAAATGTTGCCTCATATTAGTATGTTTCATGTTTGGTTTTAAATCATGTGTAACCCACAGATGTTTGCTGTGGTTATATTCATAATTCATTTGGCCTTTGAATAAGTTTGTTTTCAGACTTATCTTTGCAGTCACATGTATCTGTAGTATGCACTGGCAAAGTTCACAGTGTTACTACTTGACTTTAAAGATTTTTTGTTTTTGTTTTAGGGGAAACTCTTTGTTGGTGTTCTTATTTTTGAGCAAATAGTCAAGCTGACTATATGTTTTTCAGACATTGGTTTATCTAACAACACCTGAACATTTAACTGTGAATAGTTACTCATCTGTGTTGATTTGACCAAGACTTTTGCATAGCCTGTTTTTCCTTGAAAATAGTAGTTCTCAACACTGGATGTGCAGTAGATTCATCTGGGATGATTTAAAAACTAACTCACAGATTCTTAGGTGAAGCAGAGGGAGTATCTGGGGTCAATATTGCACAGAGTCTTTCCACATGATTCTGTTGTGTAGGCAGAATTGAGAACAACAAAGGTTTGGTAATCTATAAGACATTCATGAAGAACTTTGTTTTCCAGAGCATTGTGATGAATCATGGGTATTGGCATCATCTGGGCGCTTTTTCAGAGTTGCATATTCTCAGGCCACACTTTAGAATCAGAATCTGTGTTTGAATAAGATCTTTAGGAATTTATATGCACATTTAATTTGAGAAGCAGTGATTAAGAGTTTACATCTTTGAAATTGTAAAAAGAAAATCCTGTATCCATTCATAAAAAATGATTTTCAGGAAATTTATTTAAACTAGTAAACTCTAAATGAGAAAAAAGGGGCTCAAAAAAAGGGCTCTAGATCTGGTCAGACAAATCTAGAAAAGACTATATGAGATTCACAGTGCATAATGATTACCTAAATTCTGAAGAGTCTTGCAATTAAGAAATTCATTTAACTTTCTTTAATCTAACCTTTACACAGCTTATTTAACTACAGAACTCTTTATAGATAACACCTCTTTAATCTTAATAAGTTCTATTGATCAAACTTTGGGGAAACTGCTCTGATATTGTTTGTATCATACAAATGATATGGTACAATTTTATCAAGTTATGATAAAATCATGTGTGAAAATAACTGTTTCGTTTTAAAAAATTATTGATTTGTGAAAGTTTGATTCAGCATGAAAAGCACAGATTTCAGTGTTTTTGAATATCTATATTCTTGGTTTGTTATAGCCCAGTTTAGGAATTTTAAGATTTATTTACTTTTCTGGAAGTTCATTTGAAAATCACAGATTAGTTATCTGCTGCTCTTCTAAATCCCTAATTATAGGCTTGCTTTTCTGGATACATTAGGGAAATGGAATAGCAATAGAAAAATAATACTTTCTTCTTAAACTTATATTTTTATTATGGACTTGTGACACCTCAGCTATCATTTTTTATTACCTGCCATACCATTCTTGTGCTCCTATGATAATACTTTGGGTTTTCCTTCTCGATTTTTCTTATATATAATAGCCAGATAACTTATGAGTTACAATCCAGTTTAAACCTTAGGTGTTTCATTTAAGTGCTTGCCAGATTATGGAAAAATTTAACCTTATTAATATGGCCACTAGTGATTAAAGGAAAATTCAAATATGTCTTTGGATAAAAGAATAAATAAATAACATTAATTTGGAATATGAGGAGAGAAAAAGATAGCAGTTGAAATTTAAGTCACTGAGTATTTCAATAATCATTTAATTTTCTTTTAGGAGCTTGAACGGGAAATCACATTTCAGGGTGATAGTGCCATTTATTACTCTTATTATAAAGATATGTTAAAGGCACCTTCATTTGAAAGAGGTATGATAACTACATTTGTATATTTAATAACAATATTTTCCTAAAATAAAGCATTGTTCTATGTGGGAGCTCTTGAATGTGGAGGTTTGTCTCAGAATATAGATATTGTTCTTTTCATGTAGTTAATTTAAAAATTGGAAAAAGAAGGCACAGAGTATTATATTTTTACATCCTTCTTGATTATAAAGTATTTAATGACCTCTGAATAACATGTTCAATTTTCATAAAAGCAGAATAAATAACCTGGAGAAAAATGTTTCTGACTGTAGGTGTGTACGAACTGATGCACAATAACAAAACTGTATCTCTGAAGACTATAAATGCAGTTCAGCAAATGTCTCTATATCCAGAACTTATGGCCAGCGTTTTATATCAGGCAACTGGTAGCAATGTATGTGTCTCTTTTGACTTCAATATTCATTTTCTCACATATTTATGAATATTCAAAATTATATACTGTCATCCTATTGTCTCCTCCTCTTTTTTTCCCCAATTAGGAGATTATTGAGCCAGTATATTTCTATATTGGCATTGTTTTTGGATTGCAAGGAATATATGTTATGGCTTTATTTGTTACAAGTTGGCTTATGAGTGGAACTTGGCTAGCAGGAATGCTAACAGTTGCATGGTTCATTATTAACAGGTAAGAAAGGTGTTTTTAATGAAACTTTACAACTTTTTGTGACTGCGGTAGTCAGAGTTCTAAAAATGGCTCCCCGCCTCCAAACTTTCCATGCTCCTAATTCCTACCTGTGAATATGAGATATCATTCCTGTGGTTGTGTTATGTTGTATGGCAGAGTTGACCTTAAGGTGGGATGATTACCTGGTGGGCCTGTTCTAATCGTGTGAGCCCTTAAAAGTGAGCAGCTTTCTGTAGCTGGTAGAGAAGGGAAGTCAGAGATACTTGAAACGTGAGAAGAATTTGGTACCTTGTTGATGGATTGAAGTGAGGAGGAAATGAATTCTGCCAACAACCAGTGAGCTTGTAGGAGGACTGCAAGGCCTGGATGAGAACTACAGCCCCAGTCCTGCTTTGATTTTAGCCTTAGGAGACAGTAGCCTTAGCCTTAGCCTTAGGAGAACAGAGAATCAATCTTGTCATACTGTGCTGGGTTTGTGAGCTAATAAATTTGTGTTCTTTCAAGCCACTACATTTGTGGTCATTTGTCACCCAACAGCTGAAAAATAAAACACTCACCTCTGCCTCTCTTTTTTTCCAAACATAGCAACATTGGCGTACATGGATACACTTCATCTTTCCTCATTTATTTAAAATTGATTAAAAAAATTGATGACATAGCTTCATGAAAAGAAGGAAGATGCATCAGCTGTATCAGTTTTAAGCCAACCACTTTATTTATGAATTAATAAATCCATTAATTTGGATTAATGTGTGCTTTAGATTAATAAATCTATTCCTTTTGGTGATCAGAGGAGTACCACTTCTTTAATAGTGAAGTACAAAGAGAGAAGGGGATGGGGCTCTTTTGAATTAGAGGGCTGAAGTTTTTGTGGCATTGGTCAGTGTCAAAAACTTGTTTTTTCAGTGATCCTTGTTTTGCTTTTGAAAAGTACTTCTACACAGCACTATCTCTCCATAACACTTAATGTGATTAAATTTTAGAATATGAGACATTTCTTTTGTTATACATTTTCTTTTGGCAACTGCCAAATATGATAACTTCCACGTTACTGAGATTCAGATTTAGGGCTACATTTCTAACTGAGCTTTATTTAGGGTCATATGCTGGCAACATTTGATGTAAGGGATTTGGAAAATCTTCCTTAGGGCCTTCCCTGGTGGCTCAGTGGTAAAGAATCTGTCTACCAATGCAGGAGACATGGTTTGATCCCTGATCTGGGAAGAGCCCACATGCTGCTGAGCAGCTAATCCCTTGCACTGCAGCTACCGAGTTTGTGCTCTGGGCCAGGAGCTGACACTGGTGAGCCCGTGTGTCCATGCTCCACCACAAGGAAGCTACCGCAGTGGGAAGCCCGTGCACCATAAGTAGAGAGCGGCCCCTGCTCACCACAGCTAGAGAAAGCCCGCGCAGCAATGAAAACCCAGCATAGTCAAAAAGAAAACAAAACAAACTTCCTTAGAAGTTTTCAAGTATAGCTTGCCAGCTTTTATGAGTCAGGTATGTTTTTTTTTAAAGTACAGGGATGGGGGGCTTTCCTGGTGGCTCAGTAGTAAGAACCCACCTACTGATGCTGGGGTCGGGGGTTTGATCTCTGGGTCAGGAAGACCCCCTGGAGAAGGAAATGGTAACCCACGACAGTATCCTTGCCTGGGGAATCCCATGGACAGAGGAGCCTGGTGGGCTATAGTCCTTGGCTTGCAAAAGAATTGAATAGTTGGACACAACTTAGCAACAAAACAACAATTATTTAAAATATAGACCTTCTAAAAGGATTGCTTTGTAGACTATCTGATGTATAATAGATCAGCCCCAAACTTAACTTAGAACAGCAGACATTCTGTCTCACCATTTCTGAGGGTCAGGAATCCAGAGTGGCTTATCTGGGTGGTTCTGGCTCAGGGTTTCATGTGAGATTGAGTCAGTAATTGGATGGGGCTATAGTCATCTGAAGGTCTGAGCGGCCTGGCCCGTTTTTCCTCTTCACTCTTGTGGCTTTTGCAGGAAGCCTCAGTTCCTCACTGGGTATTGTCTTGAAGGCCTTAGTTTCTCATCATGTGGACCTCTGCAGAGTGCTACTCACAGCTTGGTTTAAGGTGAATGATGCAAGAAAGGCTGGGGTGAATGTGTCGTAGTGGAAGCCAGATATCTTTTATAACCTAACCTCAGAAATGATAGAACATTGTTCTGCCATATTCTGTTGGTCATATAGACTAACCATGGCACAAAGTGGGAAGTGGCTACATGGGTTGTTAATACCGGGTTGCTGTTTAGTCACTAAGTTGTGTCTGACTCTTGCAACACCATGGACTGCAGCCTGCCAGGCTCCTCTGTCCATGGGATTTGCCAGGCAAGAATACTGGAGAATGTTGCCATTTCCTTCTCCAGGGGATCTTCCCGACCCAGGAGGCAGGGGCTTTTCTGAACCATGTTGGAGGCTGGCTTTAATACTAATTTCATTTAATCCCTAGATCTTTCTTCATCAGAAGTTCAAAGAGAGAGACCAGGCAACTTTTCCATGTAAAAATAACAGCATTAAAAAATAAATAAGACTCCCTGTCAAATAAAATGTTTTAAAGATCTTAGTGAGAATTGTAACAAAATTGCCTTATTATAATTCAGTTGCCTTATTAAGTTGCCTTGTTTAATGACACAGTATATCCTGGGTGGCTGGAACAGGAGTTAGGTAGAAAAATTAATCTGATATATTCTGTTAAAATGTATCTTTTAGCAATTTAGAAATTCTTAGCAAGTAGTTTTTCTTTATATGTTTGTTTTGGGTTGTTTATTTTTTGGTATATATTTTTCTTTTGTTTTTTTGGCCACATGTTACGTGGCTTTGGGATCTTAGTTCCCTGACCAGAGATTAAACCCACATCCCCTGCAGTGGAAGCAGAGAGTCTTAACCACTGGACCACCAGGGAGGTCCCAGATTGGTATATATTTTATATGGCAAAATATATTTTAATGCCAAGAAAAAATATGCCATCTTTTTTATTCATCAGTTTTGGTTTATATATGATTGCCTGGAAAAGTATAAAAAGATATTAGTTATTCCATTGTATTATGAGTATTAATTGTGTTATTATTGACATTTTGTGTTCCTTAATATTAGAATTAGAAAGCAGAATAGTAAAATAGCTCCTGTTTGTTCAAATTGAAGGATGTAGGCATACTAGAGAATTCAAGAAAATTTCAGGAAATAGCACTGTGTATAACGTAGTGGGGAGAAGTAAGATGATTCCCTCTGAATAGTCTTATCACCAAAATGGGGTAATCTGTGTCCAGTCTTCATGTATAAACAATATAGAAATTGCTCTTGGTCCCTTACTGATCTTCTCATCTACAAATATACCAGAAAATCACTTTCAGTGGACCCAACTTTGTATTTGAAGAGCAAAAAAATTATCTCTGATTAAAAGTCTATATTAAGTTTAATATTTGGCCAAAAAAAGGTTACTAAACACATTGGTGGTTAATAAAAGGTAAAATACAAGGAATGCACATGTTGCAGAGTTAACAGGAAACAGTGGTAATACATGGTGCTGGATCTATAATAATCATATTGGTATACTCCAGATACTTGTGGAATTATAAGGTTTTTCAATTTTAGATTCCAGTTTTTCCCAGAAATTTCATTTTATCCACAAAAGTAATTTTAAAAAGAAGAGAAGATATCACTGCCTCAGTAGTATTATTTGTAATAAAATGAAAGATTAGAAAACAACCTATATATAAGGGAACTAATAGGTAAACTATAATACATCGATGCAAGAGAACATATAGCTATTTGAAATGATACTAATATTGCATAGGTGTTTTTCAGCTTTCACACATGATCCATAGACATGCCAGGCTGTTTTTCACATCTAATCTAAATCAGTGTTTGTGAGCTTCCCTGTTTGCTCAGTGGTAAAGAATCCACCCACCAGTGCAGGAGACATGGGTTCCATCCCTGGTCCAGGAAGATCCCACGTGCTGTGGAACAGCAAAGCCCATGGACCACAGCGGCTGAGCCTGTGCTCCAGAGCCTGGGAGCCACAGCTAGTGAGCCCACCTGCTGGAACTACTGAAGCCTGTTCATTCTAGAGCCTGTGCTCTGTAACAAGAAGCCCCCTGCAATGAAAAGTCCACACACCACAACTGGACACTACCCCCATGACTAGAGAAAAGCCCATACAGGCGAAGACCCAGCACGGCCAAAAGCAAATAAATAAAAAAGTCAGTGTTTCTCAAACTTCACATATGTATATTTGAAACTTTAGAATCATGGATTTCATGTATTGACTTAAATAATCTGAATCATGCGTGCTCAGTTGCTTCATTTGTGTCCAGCTCTGTGACCCCATAGACTGCAGCCTGCCAGGCTCCTCTGTCTGTAGGACTCTCCAGGCAAGAATACTGGAGTGGGTTGCCATGCCCTCCTCCAGGGGATCTTCTCGACCCTGCGTCTTCTGCATTGGCAGGTGGGTTCTTTATCACCAGCACCACTGGGAAGCCCAATTTGAATGATAATGTTACTTAAATAGAAAACATAAAACTATGTTTTCAAGCTCCTTGTGCTGAGAACATTTATGCTAGTATTGAAACCAATTTACTAATGAAGTAACTAACTAGTAAAATATTAACTAGAAACTTTAATGTGAAAAATTATATTTTGCTAAAGCCTAATTTCTACTCAGCGTGTATATAGTACCGGGGCTTCCCTGCTGGCTCAGTGGAAGAATCTACCTGCTTATGTAGGAGACATGGGTTTGATCTGTGGGTCAGGAAGATCCTCTGGAGAAAGAAATGACAGTTCACGCCAGTATTCTTGCCTGGGAAATCCCATGGACAGAGTAGCCTGGCAGTCTACGGTCCATGGGGTTACAAAGAGTCAGACATGACTTAACGACTGAATAACATATACCACTCCACTAGGTTCTTTTGAGTATGGCAAACCTACATAACTGGGTACTGTGAGATGACTCAGATCTTATGTTGCTTGTTATCCATTATGAAAGCTTTTTTTTTTTAACCATAGTGATCTGTACGTTTTGTTTTTACTTGGCAATACATCACTTAGCGTTAAGAAAAACATCTCATGTTTTTTTTCTGATTAACCCAAGGCAGTTGAAGTAGTACTGTGTAACCAATTGGATTATTAACAAACATGAAAGTGAGTCCTGAAATCTTTTGGCAATAATGGGTTACAAAGTGGTCATCCAGTTGATTCAGGTTATGTTTATGTTATGATGTATTTGAAATGAAAACACAAAAACTCAAGAGTTGGCTGATCTCTGGGAATATATCCATAGGCCCAGTTGAAGAAAGTAGTTATTATTTGAACTGCGGGTTTGTGCTGCTCTCTGCTCGACTCTGCCACTGGGGAGAAAAAGTCAGTCTCACTGGATTTTGTCACATCCCACTGTTACCCTTCTGGTTCTTACAGCCACCAGGCATGGTGGTGTGGGGAAGAGCGTTGAGTAGCACAGGCATTCAGGACTGGGGCTGTGAGGAGGCTTGTTCATGTAGAGAATAACTGGCAGAGTTACTCAGTTTTTGCTGCAGTGACTAAGAAGTTTCCCTCATCCTTCCCAGACAGTGTTTCTGGTGCACAGTTTTGTAGGTTTGATCTGTGCGTTGGGTAGGGGTAGTTAGTCTTTGGAATGAGGATTACAGGTTCAGCTTTCCAATTCTGGGCTGGTAGAGTGGTTGGCAAAGTCCTGACTTGAGACTCAACATCTTCTCCTTCCTGTTTGCTGACTAATGACATATGAATATCTTGTTTTGTTTTAGAAAGCTAACTTTCACAACAAATTTCCAGAAGTAATATTGTATGAGAATAGGTGGTCTTTAGAATACATGATATTCACAAATGGTTTTGCAGCAATCACATTTGGAGAAGAAATACTTACTGCATACACAATAAAATAAATTCCAATTGGGTTAAAGAATTAAACATAAACAATGAGACCAATGATCACTATACAAAAACATTGGTTCCTGTTTTTAAAAACTGTTGTGGATAAAGTCAAAAACAAGGTAAGTATATAATGATAGGAAGGAACTGGTTAGGTTATGATAAACATGTATAGTTATGTACCATGACCTTTCAGTGTTCTTGAAGTTTATGGGTGTATATATTATAGAAGGATGCTCATAATATATTGTTAAGTAAAAATAGATCATACAGAGTTATAAAAGAGGAAAGACCTAATACTGTTTACTAAGTTCTAGAAACTGTATTAAGTGTTTTTCAGCTTGTATTTCATTTGATCTTCATGTTTTTAATATGTGTGTATATATATATTTTCAATTACATATGTATTCATAGAACGCAGTTTATTTTCTAAAACTTTTTAGCAGTTTTGAGGTATAATTGACATAGAACAAACTGTACATATTTAAAATGTACCAGTTGATAATTTTAGATGTTTAGACACACTTGTAAAACCATCAACAAAATCAATATAATGTTATCACCACCCAGAGTTTAGTTGTGCTATCTGGTAATTTCTCCCTTGTTCCTCTTATCCCACCTCTACCGCTGTTCCACTGTCTTCAGGAAACTGATGATTTGCTTTCTGTCACTGTAAATTAGTTTGCAGTTTCTAGAATCTTATATAAATGGAGTCATGCGGCATATAATTTTTTGTTTTTTTCTTCCAGTCAGCAGAGTCATTTTGAGAATGACATATGTTGAGTGTACCAATAGTTTGTGCCTTTTTATTGCTAAGTAGTAGCCTATTGTATGGCTGTGCCACATTAAAAGGATGTTCCCCAGCAGGGACTGAACCTGCACACTTGGCAGTGAGGCTGCAGCGTCCCAACCACTGGACTGCCAGCGAGTTCCCCTGTACCACAATTTAAAAAATAATAATTTTACTTCCTTATTTATGGCTGTGCTGGGTCTTCATTGCTTTGCGCGGCTTTTCTCTAGTTGCGTCGAGAGGGGCTCCTCTTCATTGTGGTGCTCGGGCTTCTCGTTGTGGTGGCTTCTCTAGCTGCGGAGCACAGGCTCTAGGCGCATGGGCTTCAGTCGTTGCAGCCCACAGGCTTAGCAGCTGCTTGGGGCCCCGAGAGTACCTGGGCCCAGTCGCTGAGGCCCACAGGCTCAGTAACTACTTGGGGCCCCGAGAGCACCTGGGCCCAGTCGCTGAGGCCCACAGGCTCAGTAACTGCTTGGGGCCCTGAGAGCACCTGGGCCCAGTCGCTGAGGCCCACAGGTTTAGTTGCTCTGCTGCATGTGGGGGTCTTCCGGACCAGGGGTTGAACCCCTGTCCGCTGCCTTGGCAGGTGGGTTCCTAACCGTGTGCCACCAGGGAAGCCCCTGTACCGCGGTTTGATTGGGCCAGAAGAAATGCAAGCATGTTTGTCTCCATTAGGAGAATTATGCAGCAGTTTTCATCAAGTATTTTAAAGCAGTAGCACCATTGTGTGTGTGTGTGGGGGGAAGTAGCCATTGAATTTATGGAGATCCCAGTTTAACTGTTGAGAAGGGAGTCTGTGGTAGAGGACATGCATAGGAGATATCACTCAGTGAAGACTGATGGAGGAGAAACTTATGAGGCTCCTCCAAAAGCATTCTGTTTGTGATTCTGGAAATTTTCGAAGCTCTCTAGATCTATGATATACAGGGCTACTATAATGTTAATTCTGGATAACCTGCTGATTGAAAGCAGTATTAAGTAGATATTAGGAGATACACATTGTAATCCTAATTGTGTCATCTTCTAGCTGTATGACTTGATTAAGTCACCACTTACCTGAGCTTCTTATTCCTTTTACCTAAGAGTTAGTATTAGAACTGCTGATTCCATAGTGCACACTGTGGTCTAGAGCGATAACCATGTCTAGAGATATCCCTCTAGAGAGGGAGAACCATGTCTTTTCAATGGGAAGGGAAGATGGGGGTTGAACTCCAGTGTACTCAAAACAAGTTGTGTGTTGTAGCATGAGGCTGTATTTGCCCAAAGCAGAGATGCCTTTTGTAACTTCTCACAAAGGCCCATCTATTCATCAAGCAGACACAGCAGCACTGAGTCTTCCCGGGTGGGAGGTAAGGTAGTAGTGAAACACTGAATTTGTTGTAAGATGTATAGGTAATGGTGGCTTTGTCCATGCCTACCTCACAGGATATGGAGAACAATGAGATGTGTGTGAAAGTGCCTTGAAAAGTGTAGTGTTACACAAATATAATGTCTTGCTCTTTTGCTGTTCATCTGTGGTTTATTTTAGGGTAGATACAACAAGAATTGAACACTCCATTCCTTTAAGAGAAAACTGGGCACTACCATATTTTGCATGCCAAGTTGCTGCACTTACAGGCTATTTAAAAAGCAACTTAAATTCTTATGGAGAGGTAAGATGCAAATTTATTTGTCACAATTCTGATGTATTGCAAATGTGGTATATAATTTTAAAGCTATTCATATGAAAAATTATATTCAGTGAAACCTAGTTACTACATGATAATCTTGTTATAACTTTTCCTGTAGTCTGATTGGGAGTCAATTATATTTAGAAGCGAGATGTTACCTTGTTTCAGTGCAGCTACTTGACAAATATGAAGAATATTTTATTACGAAAATGAATGTCTCGTTATTTTACTACTTCTCTCACTTTTGGGACATTCATGGCCTTTAATCATCATGAGTTGAATATTAATGAAGATAGAAGTGACAGCAGTGGTAGCAAAGCACATTTTGTTTACATTTACATTTTGTTTGCCCTTACGTTTTCTGTGACTGAGGTATAGGTAAGGTTCAGGAGACTGTCCTGGGTAGTTTAGATTCTTAACTTTTGTTGTTACTGCCATAAACCCTTTCAGGAATCAGATGAAGCTTAGAGACTCCATCTCAGAATAATGATTTTAAATGCATAAAATAAATATGATTATAAAAGGCAACCGATTACATTGAAATTGACTTCAGTGTAGTAATCTTTTGACAGTCTGTCTGCCTGTCTTGGATTAAGAATTCTCACCCTGAAAAAGGGACCTGGTTGGCTAGGAAATAGGATTCACTTACGGTTCCTTTGTGAAATCTCTGAAAAATACTCTATTCTTTCAGGGATGTCAGATGTCCTGAGCATAGCAAACTTTATTTCATTTTTGATAGTACTAGAATTTCCTTTTTTATCTAAAATAATAACACATTTGAGATTTGTAATTTTTCTTTTGCTGGGTTTGTGTAAAGACCTTTCTGAGTAGGAAAAAAAAGACCTTTCTGAGGAGGAACATTTTCTACAATACAAAGTCTTTAATTGAGTGCTTTCTTGTTAGATCGTGCAGCCTTCTCCTAGGGAAGAATAGTTCTTCAGTTTTTGTATAAAAGTGTAACACAGCAAAATGAACTGCCTAAGCTTCTTTGTATTTACCATTATTTTGAATTAAAGTGAAAATTTTGTTGCCACAAAAAAAGATATGCTTGGTTTTTTTTTGGCCAGGCCTCGAGGCATTTTAGGTTCTCTAACGGGGGATCAAACCTGTGCCTTCTTTAGTAGAAGTGCAGTCCTAACCACTAGACTGCAGGGAGTTCCCTATCAAAGATAAAATGATTTTTAATAAAATCATTCTTCTGGGACTTCCCTGGTGGTGCAGTAGTTTAGACTTCACCTTCCAAGGCAGGGTGTATGGGTTCAATCCCTGGTCCGGGAGCTAAGATCCCACATGCTTTGCAGCCAAAAAAAATGAAAATATAAAACACAAGCAATATTGTAACAAATTCAATAAAAGACTTTAAAAATAGTCCACATCAGGGCTTCCCTGGTGGTCTAGTGGTTAAGAATCTGCCTGCCAAGCAAGGGACGCGGGTTTGATCCTTGGTCCAGAAAGATCCCACATGCCTTGGAACAACCAGGCCTGTGCACCTGAGAACCTGAATGATGCAACAAGAGAAACGACTCCGATGAGATGCCGAGACGCCGCAAGGAAGAGCAGCCCCTGTTCTCTGAAACCAGAGAAAGCCCATACACAGCCACAAAGACCCAGTGCAGCCAAAAAGTCAATAAAAATTTTAAAAAATCATCAGGAATTACATTACTAATAAACAAAAATTTTAAGAAATAGCCCATGTCAAAAGTTTCTTTAAAAATAAAATTATTATTTTAAAAGGAGTTTCAGAAGAGGTAGAATAAAGTGTTAACTTATTTTTTCCCTTCTATACCACATTCTATATCTTTCTGAATATCTTTGTTTCATTGCCATGTTATGTATTCTTTCTAGTACTTAAAAAAAAAATTTTTTTTATTTAAAAGACGACTTCCCTGGTTAAGAGTGGTTAAGAGTCCACCTGCCAAGGCAGAGGATACGGGTTCAATCCCTGGTCCAGGAAGATTCCACACAGTGTGGGGTAGCTAAGCCCGTGCTGCAAGAGGGGGGACCACCCCGAAGAGACTCCTGTGCGTTGTAGCTCGCGAGCAGCCCCGGCTCGCTGCACATGGGGGCGGCCTGCGCAGAGGCCTCGGGGACCCAGTGCAGCCGAAATGCACTCTTATATATAGGAATAATAAAATACATACATGTAAAAAGTAACAAATAGATGTACATCATACAGACGGTAAAAAAGTCAGTCAGTGTAAATGGATAGATACACAGTGAAAAGTATATTTCCCTTCAGTTCACTATTGTTTACCAAAGACCTGGTGCTTTTTGAAGGGATCTAAGAAAAGCTTATACTCCTATTTTTGTTTACATTTTTTTCTCTTTTTTTATTTAAGCACAGTTATTTTTCTGTATTTTGAAAGTATTCCATGAGTTTCTCACTCCTCCTCTTCCATCCTCTTTTCATTTTTTTCCTCTCAAGGTAAAGGAAGTAAATTATGTTGAGCAGTTATTTGATTATTTGTAACCACTTCCCTGGTGGCTCAGACGGTAAGGTATCTGCCTACAATGTGGGGGACCCGGGTTCAATCCCTGGGTTGGAAAGATCTCTTCGAGAAGGAAATGGCAACCCACCCACTCCGGTATTCTTGCCTAGAAAATCCCATGGACAAAGGAGCCTGGTAGGCTACTGTCCATGGGGTCGAAAAGAGTCAGACACGACTGAGCGACTTCACTTGGCTTTAACCATTCGTCTGGTCCTGGGTGGACCAGATGATAGAGTCCACCCTGCAGGGCAGGAGACCCGAGTTTGATCTCTGAGTTGGGAAGATCTGCTGGAGGAGGAAATGGCAAACCACTCCAGTGTTCTTGCCTGGGGAATACCACGGACAGAGGAACCTGGTGGGCTACAGTCTATAAGGTCACAAAGAGTTAGACACGACTAAGCAACTGACATATCTGGTACTCAGCAATACACAACAAGAGCAAAATATCAATTCAAATATTAAAGCGGTATCAATATTAAGGATTGTATAAAAATATGGGTTAAAAAAGAGCAAGGTTTTACTGTGGTGTATTCTTAACCCTTCAGCTTAAAACTGTTTTTTAAGAAAACAAAATGCACTTTCTGCTGCCATGATGCCTGTGAAAAAGCCTGTGGTATGGGGGGAGCAAAGAAAGAAGCAGGTCCTGAAGATTACTCAAGACTATACCCACCCTGTAGAGCTTCCCTCGTAGCTCAGTTGGTAAAGAAGCCGCCTGCAATGCGGGAGACCTGGGTTCAGTCCTTGGGTTGGGAAGATCCCCTGGAGAAGGGAACAGCTACCCACTCCAATATTCTGGCCTGGAGAATTCCATGGACTATATAGTCCATGGGGTCGCAAAGAGTCAGACACGACTGAGTGACTTTCACTTCACTATATGAACCTTGCAGAAGATGGAATCTTGGGTGCTGCCGATTTTGAGCAGTCTATTCAGAGAATTAAAGTGAATAGAAAAGCTGGGAATCTTGGAGATGTGCTAATAATTGAAAGAAGCAAAAGCAAAATTACTGTGATGTCTGAGGTACCTTTTTCTAAAAGGTATTTGAAATATCTCACCCAAAAATATTTGAAGGATAACCTGTGTAGTTGCTAAGAGCAAAAAAAGTTACAATTGTGTTACTGCTAAGTAATCAAGGTGAGGAGGAAGATAAAGATTAAAATTCAGTTATCTGGAATATTTTGTGTTATTGCTCTTTAGTAGCTGTGTCATATTCTTTGTGACCCCATTGACTGTAGCCCTGCCTGCCAGGCTCCTCTCTCTGGGATTCTCCAGGCAAGAATACTGGAGTGGGTTGCCATTTCCTTCTCCAGGGAAACTTCCTGGCCCAGGGATTGAAACTGTATCTTCTGCATTGGCAGGTGGATTCTTTACCACCCAGTCACCTGTAAAGCCCAATTTTGTATGAGTTCTTCACTAAAATTTAGAAACCAAATAGATACATATATATATATGTGTGTGTGTGTGTCTATATATATATAAACTGTCCTTCCATTATGTTTGCTTCCCCTGGAATTCACTCTATACATACACATCTTTGTGTGTGTGTGTGTGTGTGTGTGTTTTAATCGAAAGAAGATTTGCACCTGAATCAACCTGAATCAGTAGTATTGACCACCCAGCAGTCAAGTCTAGTAAAAGCCACCATTTAAAAATACTACTTTATCTCAGAATGAAAGAAAAATTTACTGAATTTTCTTCCTTTTTTTTGTCCTCTTGAGGTTCTCAATATTGTGCCGAACATTGAAGGGCAAGTGGTTGATTTCTTTGTAGAGTGTTTGATTTAAGATCTTACTGTTTATGTAAGGAATTAATAATTACATGATTTTTAAAACAAAGTTTTAAGAGTTGCTTTAAAATGGAACCAGTAACAGCCACAGAAGTTCAGGTAACAACTTGATGGGTTTGTATAGTAACAAAGCTGTTAATACTTAGTTTCTTTCTTTTGTTTTCCCTAGAGGTTTTGCTACTTGTTGATGAGTGCTTCAACTTACACATTTATGATGGTGTGGGAGTACAGCCACTATCTCTTGTTTCTTCAAGCAATATCTCTCTTCTTGCTAGATAGTTTTTCACTGGAGCAGAGTGACAAGGTATTAATGGCATTTCAAAACTATGATTTTAAATCTGCAGAATTTTAAATCTAGTATTTATAGGATTGTATAAAAACCATTTAGCTTTTAAACTTATTTTGAAATACTTTAATAGGCTCTGATTTATACTTCTACTCAAAAGGTTGTTAAACTCATTCTTCCCTAGTCCTTTTAGAAGCACTTTGAAGTTTCCTTAAGCATGGGCTGTTTAACCAGAGTCACCCCTGTGCTTCCTCTTTTATTTCTAGCCATTTCTCCATCTTCTCTGTTTCTTAAAAAAGAAAAAAAAAAGTGAAATATAGGACATGTGCAGAAGAGTCTGTGTATGCTATCTATATCCCATGGGCTGAGTATCCAGCCCGTGGGGTCACAAAGAGTTGGACATGACTGAGCAACTGAGCACACACATAGTGTATAGGAAAAATATGAGTAATTGAACACCCAGGCCAAGAATTGGAGCATTTCAGTACCCAGGAAGCCACTTTCTCCCAGTCATATCCTACTCCTCTCCAAGAGAGGCTAACTGTCCTGAATTTTGTTAATCCTTTCCTTCTTTTTCTTTGTTTTTTTACCACCTACTATGTATTCCTAAAAATACGTTGTTAAATGATAATGTATTGTTTACTTTTGCCTGATTTGCTTTTGAGATTCATCCATGGTGATATACAGTTATATTTCATTTTTATTTATTAATGTATTCTGCTGCTAAATAACATTTAAGTTTTTTTCCAGTTTATTGTTCATATGACCAGTGCTGCTATAAGCATTCATATACATGTCACCTGGCTCAGATTTTTCTAGAATATGTACCTCATAGTGGAATTAGAAGTCAAAGGATAAGTGCATATTCAATCTAACTAGAGATACCAAGCCTTTCCCCAGAATAGTTATATTGATTTATACTCCTGTCAACAGTAGTTTCCCATAGACATTCAGTTCCTTTTATCTTTTTATCTTTTTGCCTTGTTATCTTCCTTTTCCTTACTTATAAACATTTATTGAGTATGTAATATATTGTCTTATATAGAAATTTGGGAATCTTCATGCTCATCCTTTTTCTTCTGCTTGGTCCAGAATCCTGGTAATTAGGTTATTTAAATAATCATTAACCAAGTATAAAGTTGTTAACTTGTTAAGTGAAAGGGTAATAAGTACCTAAAAGTATTACAGAGGTAAAGCTTCAGGAAGCAGCTACCACCCTAGAAGCTGTGGAAGAACTGGGAATTATTAAAACTTCGAAGCTTAGAGGAGGGACCCCCATGGAGCTGAAACAGACCTCTGATAAAGAGCCACTGCTCCACTTTGCTGGTATCTCTGTACTGGAAAGAAGGGCTCTCTGGAAATGGGACCCAGACTTCTGAGAATGGTACTCTGGCCAGCTGATCCCATGGTCTCTGGGGAAAGAAGACATGACAAAGCTGATTCTTGAAGCTTAAGAAAACTGCAGCTGCATGCAACTGCTGTTACAGGAAAGAATTACTCCGTTGGAGTGAAGAAGCCTTGCTAAGGTGATCCACCCAGGAACTGCAGGCTGCAGGAAGGAATACATCCCTGCTCTGTCCTCCAACCTTACCTCTCAGGAACACAGATTGGAAGAGCTTAATAGGGAGCCAAATGGGAGAGCAGAAATGTAGATTACAGATAGAGGTTGGCCCCAGCATTATGAATCTGGGATAGAGACACAGGTTTGGACTAAGAGAACCAGCAGCCAAAATGAAAAAATAGGATATTACTAGCACCCAGAAGATCAATAGAGCCCTCTCCTTGTGATTGTGTCAGTCTCCCAACAGTGAGGTATCTTTTAAAAAAATGGCTCTGGCCTTTTAGGGATGTTTTTTCTTTCTTTTTTTTTTAAACATCACTCTGCCTTTTGATGCCGCCCCTCCCACTCCCCCGCCCCCGGCTAACTAATGTCTATATTTCATCTTAATTCTCCCCTCTCTATTCAATAAAAGGAATCTATTTTATGGTAGATTAAGTTATACTATTGAAGTTTAGAAAAGAAACCTAGTAAGACATAACTTTCTAGAAGAACTAGGAGATCTTCTATTAGAAAATTAAATTTAACTTTCTTAATGTCATTGTTAAATGGACCAAGTGCAAAAATACTTTTCTCTGGTGCTGTATTTCATGGCAATATATTTTCCTTGGGTAGGTTTTGGGAACTACTGCTAAAGATTATGACTTTTTACATACATAGCTTCACGTTGCTCAGGTGGACAAGACAAACCAAGTGAAATGAAGTCAGAGCCTGGGATTAAAGATGGTTTTTCTAGTCTGATTTAGACATCCATGGTTTCAATGCTTTTTACTTTGCTTCTGGAAAGTTCTTTCTAAAAAGAAAGTGATAAATTACCTATATTCCATGACATTAAAAATACAAGTTGAATGGTTGTACAATACTGTCCAAAATTATAGTAGAGCATTTACTTTATAATTGTAGTCAAATTTTATCTAATGAAAAAATGTACAATAAAATTAATTTTGTTCTCATTTTTGTCCCAACAGGTTCATGAAGTTTATAAAATCTATATATTTTCTCTCTTTCTGGGATATTTACTGCAGTTTGAGAATTCAGCTTTATTGGTGTCTCCTTTATTAAGTTTAGTAGTAGCCTTAATGCTTGCTAAGTGCCTTCAGGTAAGTAGAATTGACTGTCATTCTTGGGGTGAATTTTTAAATTGTTAATTTTTTTTAAATCTCACTTATTTGTTCATATGGTTCCTCCTTCCCATAGCTGAATGTGAAGAGAGGAACTTTTGTGGCTAAAATAATGAAAGTGATCAGTGTTTACTTGGTGTGTACTCTGACAGTGACACTGAATATTATAATGAAGGTGAGTAACTCTGTGTTGGAGATTCATGTAGTAGAGCAATTTGAATAATTTAATTTTAATGAGAATAATGGGATAACAGTAGAGTTTATACAGTAATATTTTTAGCTGAACTGTAATCATACCTAGTGTATTAGGTGGGAAAATAGGATTCTGAATTTTTTCTAGATATACTTTAAAAAATTCTACTTTATTTTTCATTTAAAATGTCATCATTACCCCAATTAGCATTAAGTAATATGTGGAATAAATTCAGATGAGTAAAAGACATGGGGAAAGGTTAAAATTTTCTTACTACCCCATTACCCATTATACTTTTATGCTTAACTATAAGGTAATGTGATTGACTTATGCCAGTAAATCTCCTTGCTTCATCGTTATACCTTGCATTTTTAATTCACATTTTTTGTTTCATAATCTTGCTATGTTTTCTATTGGACAAAAGCATATTGCTATAAGCATAACTGATAGTTCTACAACTAATAGTTCTAACTAGTGTTTTTATCCTCCAGATGTTTGTCCCACACAAAGAAAATGGACATATGCTGAAGTTCCTTGAAGTAAAATTTGGACTTAATATGACTAAGTAAGTTTTGGATTATGTAAGTTTACCTAACTCTATACTACTTAATAAGATAAAGAGCAGAAATAATCAAAGGAGGTTGTATGCACCTAATTACATACCACTCGGAAAATAATCTGGGGTATTATAATAGCTAGAAGAAATATGACATTCACACTTTTCTTATTTTAAAAAATACCTTATTTAGGTCTTTTAAAATTAGGTGTACTTAAACCTCAGTAGCATCACAGCATGTTAGGTCACTTTCTCCCTTAATGAGGAAGGATGATACAACCTAAGGTCAGGATAAACTAAAGATTTAAAATGAATAAAGAACCAAGGAAATTATAACCTCTAACCAGCAAAATGCTGATATTTAAAAGAACATGGGTATTTCGTTGGTGGCACAGTGGATAGGAATTTGCCTGCCAGTGTAGGGGACATGGGTTTGATCCCTGGCCCAGGAAGATCCCACATGTTGCAGAGCAGCTAAGCCCACCTGCCACAGCTACTGAGCCTGCACTCTGGAACCCGTGAGCTACGACTCCTGAGCCTATGTGCTGCAGCTGCTGAAGCCCTCACACCTGGAGCCTGTGCTCCACAATGAGAGAAGCCCCCCCAGTGAGAAGACCGCACAGAGTAGTCCCTGCTCACGCAACTAGGGATCGCCCACACAAAGCAACGCAGACCCAGTGCAGCCAGAAAAAGGGGATGAAGTCAGCTATAGTTCAAGTAAAAAAGGCTCATGGCATATTACACATCTGTGCCTCAATAAAAACAGGGTATGGACATAAAAATGAGGTGGTCAGTAAGATACTTATTTCATAGCAAAGACTGTCATCTTTGGTCGTAATAGTGGATTGGGCCAGAACCTGACTTTTTAAATTCAAAAATAGTGTACTTTTGTTTGTTGGTTAAGTGCATTTTTTTAAATCTAAAATGAAATAAATGATTTTATATACTAATAGAATTCATTTGCATAGCAGAAAACATATATTTACCTATCAGAGTGTTAGTTGCTCAGTCGTACCTAACTATTTGCAACCCGTGAGCTGCGGCCCACCAGGCTCTTCTGTCCATGGGAGTTTCCAGGCAAGGATACAGGAATGATTTGCCATTCCCTTCTCCATGGAGTCTTCCTGACCCAGGGATCAAACCTGGGTCTCCTGCATTGCAGGCAGGTTCTTTACCAACTGAGCTACCAAGGAAGCACTTAATGCCAGGTTCATTCTAGAGTCTTCCAAGATTACAGAGGAAGTCAGTGAAAAGGCCAGGCAATTATGGAGGTCTACAACCAGCTTTTACTAGTTGCCTGCTGAGTTTCAGGCCTACAAATATACCTTATTTAAAAAAAAAACAAATACATCTTACAAAGATATGGTCCCTAGCTTTATGAAGCACACAGCCTCTTTAAGGATTCTTTTATCTTACTAGATAGATATGATTTACGCTTCAGAAGACTTCTGTAGTGTTTAATCCATGGCAAACACTTGGTTGACTAATACATCACAATATGAAACTTCATGCACAGTATCTAAAATGCCATGTAATCTAGCGAAATGTATAGGTAAATATTCTCCAGGGGATCTTTTCGATCCCTGAGTCAGGAAGACTTACCTAGTTCATGAGTAGACCCTAGAACCTTATCATTGTTTGCTGTGATTACCTGGGATTTTAGATACCATGCATAAAATTTCATGTTGTGATATATCAGTTAACCAAGCATTTTACGTGGCTTAAACATTAGAGAAGTCTTCTGAAGCATGAATCATATTTATCTACTAAGATAAAAGAATCCTTTAAGAGGCTGTGTGCTTCATAAAGCTAGGGGCCATGTCTTTTTAAGGTGTATTTGTAGGCCTGAGACTCAGCAGGCAACTAGTAAGAGTTGGTTGTAGACCTCCATAATCGACTGGCCTTTTCACTGACTTCCTCTGTCACTTTGGAAGATTCTAGAATGAACCTGGCATTAAGGGCTGCTTTTGTTCAGTGTTTCTTAGTTGATCTTGTGTAGTGCTCCTTTGTTCTGCATGTTAGGTACTGGATTTGCTTCACAAGGTAATACACTCGGTATTTTAATATTAAAGCTTAGTCCTTGTCCTTAAGGATATCGCCAGCTCATTAGATAGATTTTATACAATTAATGGCATATAGGTCGTACAGATTGTTAAGTGCCTTATATTCAGATGTTCCAGTTGGATATCAGGGTTTGTAATGTTCATCAGGATTTCAGGAAGCATTTCTGTTGAGAGAAACTTTTAAGAATCACTAAAGAAGTGTTAATAGTTATTTAATGTGCAAGATACTGGGCCAGGTACTCTTTGGGATACAAAAATGTCTACAGTCTGACACATGCATGCTAAGTTGCTCAGTCGTGTCTGACTCCTTGTGACCCTATGAACTGTAGCCCCCCAGGCTCCTCTGTCCATGGGATTCCCCAGGCAAGAAGACTGGAGTGGGTTGCCATTTCCTCCTCCAGGGGATCTTCCTGACTCAGGGATTGAACAGTGTCTCTTAGTCTCCTGCATTGGCAGGTGGGTTCTTTATCACCAGTGCCACCTGAGAAGCCAATCTGGCACATAGCGGATTGCATTAAGCACAATAATAAAGTGATAATTAAAGTGCTATGGGAATATGGGGAAGGAAAGATTGAGATTAGGATTATGGAAAGAAGATCATTAAATTGGGAATTTGAATTAGACCTTAAAGAATTAGTAGGTTTAATAGGCGTATTTAAAAACAAGATGCATTTGTCCTGGGTACAAAGATTTCGATGACAGCCTCTTTGATACAGTTTTATTGCTGTTTGGCCCATTGAGAAACTTGAACCTTTTAGTTTAAACCCGGTGATTTGTGAAGCATTCTTGGTCCCTCCATGAGCACTCCTGAACATCACTTTTTCACTTATCTCTTTCCCCAGGGCTGGGAATTTAAGGATTAAATGGAAGTTAAAGATGGTTTGGGAGTGAGAATGCCGATAAATCTACCTATAACTAGGAGTCTTCGTTATATTTAGTGTGGGTTAAAAAAAAGCAGTTTATCTGATAGGATTGTCTAATATAAAACAAGAGTGTCCAATAACAATGTAACTGTAGTCTCATACATAATTTTTTAGTAGTCACATTAAAAAAAAAGTAAAAAGAAACAAGTGAATTTAATTAATGTATAAACAATATAAAATTACTGAGATATATTTTATATTTTTAAAATTCCCTTTTTCAGCTGTTTTTATCTTTGAAGTCCAGTGTATATTTTGTGCCCTAAGAATATTTCCACTTGCCACATTGCATGTACTGATAGCTAACATGTAACTAGTGACTATCATATTGGACTGTGCTGGTTGAGGCTACACAGCTGAATTTTTTGTTTTCTTCCATGTAAAACAGAAAGTAAAACTACCTTAAAACTATATTGAGTCCTATATATATTGGACTGTATATATATATTGTCACATTGCTGTATCATAAAAAAGCAATTTTAAATTTGTTAGGGCAGCTTGTTGAGGAGAGTTACTAATGCTATTATTTTCATTTGTAAAGGGTATGACCTTTCTGTTGTAAGTTAATAGATTAAAGAAATGTGTTTTGTCTTAGTTTTTACTGAGATAAAAAATAACTTTTATGTTCAGTATTTTAAAACATCTGTAATTTTAATATCATGCTTTTTGTTTTCTGTAGGAATTTTACAATGAATTGGCTCCTGTGTCAAGAATCCCTTCAGGCACCATCTCAAGATTTTTTTTTGCGATTGACACAGTCTTCTTTATTGCCTTTCTATATTTTAGTGTTAATTATTTGTTTTCTTTCTATGATTCAAGTTATTTTTAGGAGAATTAAGTAAGTACCTAAGAAAACCAATCATATTACTAATTAATAAATTATGAAATACATAAAACATTTAATATCTTTCCAATATTTATGTATTTGTTTTATAGCTTCTAATTTAATTCTTTTTATCAGTATGTAAAATATCATTATAAGTTGACCAGATAAAATTCAGATTTAAGTGTATATACCTAAATATGTAATGTCCATTTTTAATGCAGGAATAATATTAAATAATCAGTTAAACTTTTAAAGACTCGTTCAGTAATTTACTCAGGATTTTTATTTATTGTAAGAAGAATCTCTTCTACTTAAACTAGTAGTAAAAGTGATTTTAAACTATAAAGTTTGACTATTTAAAAATATTTTTGTAATGTTTGAAAGGAGGTTGTATATAGTATCTTAATTTTGAGAACTTACTCTAATTATGATTTTAACTATATTGATTTAGCAACCACTAGTTCAGTTATAATGGACAAGGAACCTAAGTATCTAAGTCTCTTTTTTATTACAGTTCTTGAACTTTCATGTTTCATCTTCATTGAGTCAGTTGTCTTCCAAAGTTGAAAAGCCTCTTTCAAAGACTTGGAGATATATGTTAGGTATTTGACCAGCAGAAAGCACTTTCAAATTTTAAAAACTTCCTATGTATTTTTTATGAGGATACTAAAGAGCTTTGATTTTTCAAAGTAGTCAAAAACACATTTCTTTCGGTAGTGATAAGTCCCTGAAAGAAACTGTCACACTTGAAGATGGACGAATTGGAGAAAGGCCAGAAATAATTTATCATGTGATTCACACTATTTTACTGGGTTCTCTTGCAATGATTATAGAAGGGTAAGTGTATATTTGATCCATTTGTTTTAACAGAGAATTGTCCTTTATGATGGTAGGTAGTGTTTACTTTCCAGAATACATTTATAAAACACTACAAAAACTCAAAAAACCTTAATATAAGTGGGGTTGAGAGAGGTATTTATAATATAATGAACCAGCATTTACTTACGCTTTTATTTGTTCAAAAACTATTGAATGTCTTCAAAGGGTCCAGCATTGTGCTCACTGCTGGGGGTACACTGGTGAACAAAAGTGGACAGCAAAAGTCTAACCTCATGTGATTTATGGCCTAGTAAAGGTGACAGACACTAACCACACAAAAATAAAATCACAACTTTGCTAAGTGAAGGAGAGGTAAATGGTGTTTTGAGAGTGGAGGTTCAATAAATGATACCCTTTTCTTTGAAGTTTGACTTAGGTGAGAAATAAGACATAGGAATATAAAAGTGTTCTGAGAACCCGGTTTTAATGAAGGTAGGTTTCTTTATACCAACAGACAATTCTCTGGATGCCAGCTGGGTATCCTACAATTCAACTCAGTTTTGACACTTGTCTGCCAGGACCATCAGAATCCATAGGCATAGGGTTCAGTCCTACAAGACTCCCTTGTTACCTCTTCAGACACCGATTACAAGTCCAGGTTATTACCTGTTTCTGATGAACTGACCAGAGTGTCCCAAACTCTGGCTGGAACACTAGTCACTTCAAGAAGTAGTAGGAGAAAAACTGAAAAGGTGTGTCAAGGCCATATCTTAGAGGGCCTTGAAAACCATTTAGATGAGTTTCCATTTATTTCTGTAGGTACTGGGAAACTAAAGATTTTTAAACAGAACATGTCTTCTCATGGTTATGTTTGAAAAGGATTCATCTGGCATCTCTTTGAATTGGAAGAGAATTTAAAGGTTGAAATGTTAATTAGCTGGCTAGATGAAATAAATGGTAAGGAAGGGTTGGATACTAAGAAGTCAGTGGATTGGCATAATGGTCCAGTGTCTCCAGTAGAGTTTGTGTTCCAAGGGATGTCATATACATGTAATTTAGTGTGAATCAATGTCTCTTCAAGTTACAAATTAGACTTTAGTGTTGATTCCGGCTGACTGGAACAACTGGTTTGGTATTCTGAAATGGGGGTGTTAGGAGGAGATATTAGTTAACTGGGGAAACTAATGCGATTCCCCTGTCTTAATAAAATGTATTCTGTATGCATCCACTACTTATCTCAGAGCCTGATTCAGTATTCATTTTTTTTAAACCTTTAATACAGTCTCAAATCAATATTTTGCTTTCACATAACCCTTGACCTTATGAAAATGCTTTTTAGTACTTATTTTCTAATGGTTTCCCATGTGTTCAAGTGCCACATTAGCTGCTTCCCAGGTGGCGCAGTGGAAAAGAATGCACCTGCCAATGCAGGAGATGCAAGAAATGTGGGTGTGATCCCTGGGTCAGGAAGGCCCCCTGGAGTAGGAAATGGCAGCCTACTCCAATATTCTTGCCTGGAAAATTCCATGGACAGAGGAGCCTGGTGGGCTACAATCCATAGTGTCACAAAGAATCAGACACAACCAAGCATGCATGCAGGAAATGCATGTGTTCAGTTTTATTCCATCTTGATAAAGACCTCCTTGAGAGCTGTAGCCACATCTTGTCTTTTTCCTCTGTAGTACTTTGGTCACACTGAAGTGCATGATCAATAACTTATCAGATGAATGAATGTTACTTTGCTTTCCCCATTTCATAGCTTTGCTAATTTTATAAAACCAAAATAGTTCACGTTTATACTCTGGCCTCATATGCTTCTAGTGTCTTTAGAGTTTGTCATCAAAGAATATTGCTTGGAAAGGTCTTTTTGTTTTCTTAGTATTAACTACAAAAATTATCCTTTGAGATGTTGTTTCTCTTTGTTAATCTGTGTGAAGCAATGGCATCCACAAATTTTTCTCACTCTTCCTCTTCTGTCTTCAGCTTTTACCATCACCTCTTACAGCTACAAGTTACAACTTACAGTAATGTTCTGTCTTTTATTTATACAAGCTGATTTTTTTGTACACCTGGAATTTTAATCTTTTTAAGTTAAGAGTCCCAGTTTTTCAATTCTGTTTTTTTTTCTTTTTTTTTAATTCTGTTTTTAAAAAGTTAATCTCAAAAGTAATACACTTCAGACCATGTAATAAACACAGTATAGAAATGTATGAAGTAAGAAATTAAAATCCTTCCATCTCACTCCTCAAAGGCCACAACTGTCAGCTGTATCTTTCTAGATGTTATCTTTTGACTATACTGTATATAGGTACATTAGGGGGGAAAAGTCACCAAAAAACTAGGGTACAATATACATAAGATTTTGCAGTTTGCTTTTTTGTTTTTCATAAGGATTTGTTTAATCAGTACCTATTAAAGGATAGTTAGGTTTCTATTTATTTTACAATTAAAACAACATATTTTTAATATTTATGCTACTATATCTGTAAGCTAGATTACTAGAAATGGCATTGTCTTGTGCTATTTAAAATTTTTATAGGTTCTGCCAAATTGCCTTCTGAAAAGGAGAAACAGTTTATATTCTCTCCAAGAGTACAGTTTTACTACACCTCATCTATATTAATGCCTAATCCTCATTTTAGTAACCCACATGTCTCTTGATTATTTAAGAAGTAACTATCTGTCACTGAAAATTAGAGGGTAAGCTTTTTCACTCTCCCTTAACATTGTGGTGTTTTCATGAATGTTAGGAAACAACTCAGAATAGAGAAATCATATAATAATGATGTTCATAGAATAGCTAATGGATGACTCTTTTTTGTCTTTTCCAGCTTGAAATACCTATGGACTCCTTATGTGTGCATGTTAGCAGCATTTGGTGTATGTTCTCCTGAACTTTGGATGACACTTTTCAAGTGGCTTCGATTACGAACTGTACACCCAGTATTGTTGGTGAGTCATTATTTTCTTTTTAGTTCTTGTTTCTCTTTCAAGTATATGAATGGAAATCATGTTGGATACAATTGAAATAGCATGAGTAAATCATATTATGATTTATAGGTAGAGAAAAAGAGAAAGAGATTCTGAGGAAAATATTTTTTTCATAATTTCTGATTATAAAAGTAGTGTGTTTCAATGCAAAATCCTTAAAAAGTAGAAGGTAAAAAAATTAAGTGAATCAATAATTTGAGAAGCTATCAAAAATTAAGTTTTATAGCATTTTTCTTGGTTTGACTTAGAACTATGGTATGTTTTCAGTGTGAATGGAACGTTTACACTGTACCTGCTATGAATCAGTTCAGTTCAGTTTAGTCACTCAGTCTTGTCTGACTCTTTGCGACCCCATGGGCTGCAGCCTGCCAGGCTTCCCTGTCCCATCACCAACTCCCAGAGTTTACTCAGACTCATGTCCATTGAGTCGGTGATGCCATCCAGCCGTCTCATCCTCTGTTGTCCCCTTCTGCTCCCGCCTTCAATCTTTCCCAGCATCAGGGTATTTTCAAATGAGTCAGTTCTTTGAATCTGGTGGCCAATGTATTGGAGTTTCAACTTCAGCATCAGTCCTTCCAGTGAACTCAGGATTGATTCCTTTAGGATGGACTGTTGGCTCTCCTTGCAGTCCAAGGGACTCTCAAGAATCTTCTCCAGCACCACAGTTCAAAAACATCAATTCTTTGGCGCTCAACTTTCTTTATAGTCCAACTCTCACATCGATACATGACCACTGGAAAAACCATAGCCTTGACTAGATGAACCTTTGTTGGTAAAGTAATGTCTCTGCTTTTTAATATGCTGTCTAGGTTGGTCGTAACTTTTCTTCCAAGGAGTAAGTGTCTTTTAATTTCACGGCTGCAGTCACCATCTGCAGTGATTTTGGAACTCCCAAAAATAAAGTCTGCCACTATTTCCACTGTTTCTCCATCTATTTGCCATGAAGTAATGGGACCAGATGCCATGATCTTAGTTTTCTGAATGTTGAGCTTTAAGCCAACTTTTTCAGTCTCCTCTTTCACCTTCATCAAAAGGCTCTTTAGTTCTTCTTCACTTTCTGCCATAAGGGTGGTGTCATCTGCATGTCTGAGGTTATTGATATTTCTCCCGGCAATGTTGATTGCAGCTTGTCGTGCTTCATCTAGCCCAGCGTTTCTTATTGATGTACTCTGCATATAAGTTAAATAAGCACGGTGACAATATACAGCCTTGATGTACTCCTTTCACAACTTTGAACCAGTCTGTTGTTCCATGTTCAGTTCTAACTGTTGCTTCTTGACCTGCATACACATTTCTCAGGAGGCAGGTCAGGTGGTGTGATATTATCATCTCTTTCAGAATTTTCCACAGTTTCTTGTGATCCGCACAGTCAAAGGCTTTGACATAGTCAATAGAACAGAAATAGATGTTTTTCTGGAACTCTCTTGCTTTTTCGATGATCCATCAGATGTTGGCAGTTTGATCTCTGGTTCCTTTGCCTTTTCTAAAAGCAGCTTGAACATCTGGAAGTTCTTGGTTCACATATTGTTGAAGCCTGGCTTGGATAATTTTGAACATTACTAGTGTGTGAGATGAGTGCAATTGTGCAGTAGTTTGAGCATTCTTTGGGATTGCCTTTCTTAGGGATTGTAATGAAAACTGACCTTTTCCAGTCCTGTGGCCTCTGCTGAGGTTTCCAAATTTGCTGGCACATTGAGTACAGCACTTTCACAGCATGATCTTTTAGGATTTGAAATAGCTCAACTGGAATTCCATCACCTCCACTAGCTTTGTTTGTAGTGTGCTTGCTAAGGCCCACTTGACTTCACATTCCAGGATGTCTGGCTCTAGGTGAGTGATCACACCATTGTGATTATCTGGGTCATGAAGATCTTTTTTGTATAGTTCTTCTGTGTATTCTTGCTACCTCTTTTTAATATCTTCTGCTTCTATTAGGCCCATACCATTTCTGTCCTTTATTGAGCCCATCATTGCATGAAATGTTCCCTTGGTATCTCTAATTTTCTTGAAGTGATCTCTAGTCTTTCCCATTCTGCTGTTTTCCTCTATTTCTTTGCACTAATCACTGAGGAAGGCTTTCTTATCTCTCTCTGCTGTTCTTTGGAACTCTGCATTCAAATGGGTATATCTTTGCTTTCCTCCTTTGGTTTTTGCTTCTCTTCTTTTCACATCTATTTGTAAGGCCTCCTCAGGCAGCCATTTTATTTTTTTGCATTTCTTTTTCTTGGGGATGGTTTTGCTCCCTGTCTCCTGTACAGTGTCACGAACCTCTGTCCATAGTTCATTAGGCACTCTTGTCTATCAGATCCAGTCCCTTAAGTCTGTTTCTCACTTCTACTGTATAATTGTTAAGGATTTGATTTAGGTCATACCTGAATGGTCTAGTTGTTTCCCCTACTTTCTTCAATTTAAATTTGAATTTGGCAATAAGGAGTTCATGATTTGAACCACAGTCAGCTCTTGGTCTTGTTTTTGCTGATTGTATAGAGCTTCTCCATCTTTGGCTACAAAGAATATAATCAATCTGATTTCAGTGTTGACCATCTGGTGATGTCCATGTATAGAGTCTTCTCTTGTGTTGTTGGAAGAGGGGGTTTGCTATGACCAGTGCGTTCTCTTGGCAAAACTCTATTAGCCTTTGCCCTGCTTCATTCTGTACTCCAAGGCCAAATTTGCCTGTTACTCCAGGTGTTTCTTGACTTCCTACTTTTGCATTCCAGTCCCCTATAATGAAAAGGACATCTTTTTGGGGTTTTAGTTCTAGAAGGTCTTGTAGGTCTTCATAGAACTGTTCAATGTCAGCTTCTTCAGCATTACTGGTTGGGGCATAGACTTCTGTGATATTGAATGGTTTGTGTTGAAAATGAACAGAGATCATTCTGTCGTTTTTGAGATTGCATCCAAGTACTGCATTTTGGACTCTTTTGTTCACTATGATGGCTACTCCATTTCTTCTAAGCGATTCTTGCCCACAGGAGTAGATACAATGGTCATCTGAGTTAAATTCATCCATTCCAGTTCATTTTAGTTCACTGATTCTTAAAATGTTGATGTTCACTCTTGCCACCTCCTGTTTGACCACTTCCAATTTGCCTTGATTCATGGACCTAACATTTCAGGTTCTTATGCAGTATTGCTCTTTACAGCATCAGACCTTGCTTCCATCACCAGTCACATCCACAACTGCATGTTAGTTTTACCTTGACTCCATCTCTTCATTCTTTCTGGAGTTATTTCTCCAGTGATCTCCAGTAGCATATTGGGCATCTACCGACCTGGGGAGTTCATCTTTCAGTGTCCTGTCTTTTTGCCTTTTCATACTGTTCATGGAGTTCTCAAGGCAAGAATACTGAATTGGTTTGCCATTCCCTTCTCCAGTGGACCACGTTTTGTCAGAACTCTACACCATGACCCGTCTATCTTGGGTGGCCCTACACAGCCTGGCTCATAGGTTCATTGAGTTAGACAGAGCTGTGGTCCATATGTGATTAGATTGGTTAGTTTTCTGTAATTGTGGTTTTCTGTGATTGTGTGAAAACCACAATCACCTGCTATGAATAATGTGCTTGAAATAAAAAGATAAAACATGATTTGGGGACTTCCCTGGTGGTTCAGTGGTTAGGACCCCAAGCTTTCTCTGTCGGGGGCATGGGTTTGATTGCTGGTTGGGGAACTAAGATTTCGCATAGTGTGCAGTATAGTTAAAAAAGGTTAATTTCATTAAGTGGATTACCATTTCCTGGTCATAAAAAGAGATAAGAAGTATTAATAGGGTGCTTTTGGAACCGAGAAGGCCTGCTTAATTTAGTTTTTTTTTTTAATCCCTAAAAGAGGAGTTCAATTCTCAGGTGTGAAAGATGAGGGTAAAAGGGGTATTCATGGTAGAGGGAAGAAACACCAGTTGCAAAGTACATGATATATGCAAAGGGAGTAAAATCAGAGGCAAAGAAAAAGCATGACACATTTAATTTTGTTGGCACATAAAATGTGAGGTAAGGGTGGTGAAGAAATGAGACTGGAGGAATCAAGGAGGGTAAGGTCATTGGGGTCTTTGAGTGTTCTGCTGAACTTGGTGTTATCCCACAGGCATTCAGATCACATTGACATGTTTATGCAGAGGTGGGAGAAAGTCAGCCTTACCTTTTCTCTCAGCCCACCCTTAAAGTTCCATAAAGAATAGGCTTAAGGGTGATAGACTTGAACCAGGAAGGAGGTTGAACCTCCTTAAACCAGGTACAGGCCATGGAGGAGGAAGCGATGAGAGCTTACTATGTGTCAGGTACTGTTTAAAGCATTTTATATGCTATTCAAAGCTTACAAAGACCTTGTTGGCAAGTTTCATTATCTGTATTTTATAGACAAGGAAACGAAGGCTTAAAGTGATTAATTAACTTGACCAATATCATATAACTTATAAGTGTAATAAAATCATGATTCACACCCACTTTGGAGTTCTTCTAGCTCCAAAACCCATTTAATTAATACTGTTCTATACTGAAGTAAAAAAAATAGAAGATTTGGTGCCTCATAAAGTATGGATGAATGAAGAATAGGGAGAAATCATAGATGTTTCCTAGGTTTGGCGTTTGAGTGACTAGATTGTGGGGTCACCAATTGCCGTGAGACAGTATGAAGAACAGGTTTTGGCAGAAAGCTGAGAAATTATTATCTCTAATAATAGTCTTCTTGTATTTTGCCAACCTTTTTCCAGAGGAATTTATATATTCTTAGCATAGTAGTATACTGGTATTAAAGAACCGGCCTGCCAGTGCAGGCTGGAGACATAGAAGATGGAAGTTCAATCCCTGAGTCAGGAAAATGCCCTGGAGAAGGAAATGGCAACCCACTCCAGTATTCTTGCCTGGAAAATTCCATGGACAGAGGAGCCTGGTGAGCTACAGTCCATGGGGTCTCAAAGACTTGGACACGACTGAGCACACACACATACTGGTATGTATTGACTGTTTCTCCTGTGTTTATTCATTGTCTTTTTGCTGTTGTTAGCTATTCACATAGCTATTTATTTATTTACAATCCAGTGTTTTTTGTAAACTTCCTAAGTTAGATTCCTGGGAAAATCAGATACTCACTTGCTATTTGAAATGTTGTGATGAGTATTATGTTCTGCCTTAAATTTATACAGTAAATATGCATGTCTCACTTTGCCTCCAGCTTGTTATATCTTAAATCCATTGTTTATGTGGTAGTCATTCAGTTGTGTCCGACTCTTTGTGACCCATGGACTGTAGCCCACCAGGCTCCTCTGTCCATGGAACTCTTCAGACAAGATTGCTGGAGTGGGTTGCCATTCCCTTCTCCAGAGGATCTTCCCTACTCAGGGATCAAACCCAGGTCTCCTGCACTGAAGGCAGAGGCTTTACCGTCTGAGCCGCCAGTAGTCATCACCATCTTACTCTATGAATTAGGTTCCATGCTGACTCCCAATTTCTCTGAAATTGTTATAACTGTAAGAATATTTGATTGGTCATAGAGTCATTGTCTAGTACCTCTGAAGTATATTCTGAAGTGTATTTATCCATAACCCTTTTTGCTTTAACATTTTAGGCTCTTATTTTGAGCATGGCTGTGCCCACTATAATAGGTCTCAGCTTATGGAAAGAGGTAAGAAAGTTAGATTTTTCATAAGGTTAAAATATATGTTGTTTATAAGGTAGTGATAAATTTTTATGTGTGTGTAGGATACTTATATTGGGACAATATTTTAACAAAATAAAATGTGATATACTAAATAATACTTAATTTTCTACCAATAGGACCATGATAGAAGAGCTAAAACATTTTTAGAGTGCCATCTGATGCAATTTTCTATAGTCTAATATTGTTAGACTATTACAATTGACAAAGGAAATAGCTGAATAAATTGTATTTACTAGTAAAGAGTAAAAAGCATTTTGGCAACCCCAAAATTTAAATATTTACAAAGTAATATAAATTTTTTACCTTACCATAATGTGACATGAAATTAATTGCCAGTAAACCTGTGAATTATTTGACTTAACCTGAAATGTATTTGTTTACTTATTTTTTCAATGTGTATGTGCATGAAAGATACAACTGATGATTAATTGGTGATGCTAAAATTATGTATTGAGTATAGGTAGTAAATTAACCAAACGGTAGATTATTTGGACTAAGAAGAATGAACAAGAAACTAAAAGAAAGTAAAGTGATCTGTGCCATTTTTTCTGTGAGAACAGTGTTGTAATATTGTTTGTCACAAGTAGGCCTCTTAGTCTTTGGAAATACTTTGAAAAAGCTTCAAACTTTATAAATACTTACACACAGATTTCGGGGATTTTGTTTTGTATTTTAGTTTTTTCCAAGATTAATGACAGAACTAATGGAACTACAAGAATTTTATGACCCAGATACAGTGGAACTTATGACCTGGATAAAGTAAGAACTGAATTACCTGAGACTGTTGTTAAGCTATTAATTAACCATTGCGTGCTATTTAATAGATTCAGGGGGAATAATAAGGTAATCCTTTTTCCATGAAACTCAGGAATTTTACCCTATATTTTTAGGGACAGTTTTTTAATTAGACATATAATTCTAATTTTCTAATTGAACTCGTTTCCATCAAAAGTACAGTATTGGTAAGTTGAGACGTGAAGCTCTAGCTATTAAGCATCTAGAAATGTGGAATAAAAAGGAATCAATGTCCTTTTATTTAGATAGTCAAGAGATGCTTCTTTTAACCAGGGTTGGAGGTGAATGAATGGTGGGTTTCTAGTGTTGATAACCAAAGTTAACAACATTTTTAATTTTGATACTCATGCAGATTTTAAGGTGACAGGAGATGTGCTCTTGGACCTATGCAAGTGGGGAATTGTAATTGAAACACCCTATTCCATTCCCTAACATATTAATACATACAGAACTAAGGGACCCTCAAAGGGTCATACTGTCAGTGAAGGGATGAACTCAAAATATCCAGCAAGTGGTAGAAAAAGATGGCAAGAAAGCATGTCTTCCTTGGCCTCAGCTCTTGGTCAGAAATAAAGTGTTTCCTCTGAATTTGTAGCAGTCCATCTGAATTCACATGTCTGTAGCTTGAAATTATACTTGTTTAATCCAGGGAACCCTGTATCAAGAAATTAGCATCAAAGATATTTCTGGGATAGTCTGGAGTGCTTAATTAAATCCTCAACCCAGGCTACCCAGGATTTCACAAATAAAGCTTCATGGAGATAAGTTCTAAAGTTACAAAACACATGAAGAAACAGTTCGACACAGCAAGACATTGCTGTTATTTATGATAAGCAATAGAACTAGACCTCTAGCATTTCTGATAATAAAATTTGGGTCAGGTTTTGCGGCACAATGGACTCTCACAAAAGTTGGTGACTTACAAGCAATAAACATTTGTTATTTTGCACCACTTCCATGATCAACTGAGTGGAAGCAATAGGTAAGCTTCTGGTCTGGGCCAGCTCATGTGGAACTGGGTAGTCTGGCCTGGCCCCTCTCACGTGTCTGTAGCTGGGTAGTGTCAGCTGAGGGCATGGAATTGACTTAGCCACTTCTCGTCATCCAGCCCAGGTGAGACTGGGCTGATTCACAAGATGGTGGTTGTAGAGCTCCCTAGAGCAGCATGTTTTAAGTCTGCTCGCCTTGTGTTTGCTAATGTCCTATTGGCCAAAGCAAGTCACATGATGGAAACTAGAGTTTCCTCCAAGAGCATAACTATGGGGAAAGAATCATTGCAACCATTTTTTTCAACCAGTCTACCCCACAAATAGAGACTGATAAAAAATATGAAAAATTTTAAACATATAGATGAGGAAATTAATACTTGAAAAAGGAACAAACCACTATCAGAAAAAGACCAGGATAAAACAGAGAAAAAGATTAAAACTGTTTCTAGAAATGAAGAATTAATTTTATAGAATAGGTGAATAGAAGTGAGAATTGTTGTTGTTCAGCTGCTAAGTCGTGTCCCACTTTTTGCGACCCTATGGACTGCAGCACGCCAGGCTTCTCTGTCCATCACTCTCTCCCTGAGTTTCCTCAAACTCATATCCATTGAGTCAGTAATGCCATCCAACCATCTCATCCTCTGTCACACTATTCTCCTCTTGCCCTCAATTTCCCCAGCATCAGGGTCTTTTCAGGCTCTTAGCTCATGGCCAGAGTATTGGAGCTTCAGCATCAGTCCTTCCAGTGAATATTCAGGGTTGATCTCCTTTAGGATTGACTAGTTTGATCTCCTTGCAGCCCAGGGGACTCTCAAGAGACTTCTCCAGCACCACAGTTTGAAAGTGAGAATAGGTCTTATGTAAGGTCTCATTATTATGATGACACCTCTTATATGTATAAAGATTATTATTTTAGATCATCCTTAACTACTGCCCGTTAATATTTTTTTGTGAATTGTACTTACCTTTGTGGAACATTGACTGTATAGCCTTCTGTTGTTAACAAAAGAGTAAGTAAAAAAAAAAAAAGTTAAGTCACGTTTACATGTATGATTTACCACAATATTTTTAAAAACAGCAAAGGCCTAAACATCGGACCTTTTACATCAAATGATTGAGCATTTATGTTACTGTGATGTGATTTTTCTGTTTCATTTTCATTTCCCCATTACCAGGTGCTCCTTGAGGACGCTGGCTGTGTCCTCTTCACTTTCAGAGTTTGATACAGTAGGTGGATGCTGATTGTTGAATACAGGGAGGGAATAAATAAGTCGGGACATTGGAGCAGCCCTTTGGGATCTGTCTTGTGAGGGCCATCCATCTGGGATTTTGGAATTATGATTTAGAGTTGAGAAGTCCTTCATGTGTTACCTGGAGCCAGACACACGGGTAAAGGCAGGGAAGGAGCAGGAGGATAGGTGCATCTGGAAGGAGCTGGGTTATGGTGGTTAGTATTTGCCAAAGATGACTTTGAGAATTCACAGCATCACCATTGAGCTGTCGCTGCTCCATTGCCCTGCGTCATCGCCACGTGACCTAGGTGGCAGTAGGTGTGTTTATCCTCCCCCTGCTCTGTCTCGAAAGCAGTGACCGTGTCCTCCCACTTCTCTTTTTAAAATATTTATCTTCAGCACTCTAAACAATTTCTGACACATAATAGCTGCTCATTTTTCTTAATGAATCAAAAAATGAAAAGAAATTAAAACTGATATTAAAACTTAAGTGTACAATCCATTTTAAGTTGCTTGGTATTTCAGAATTGATACAAATTGGTAAACTAAATAGTATACTTACCTTTTCAGTGTGTGAATCTTTGTGGTTCTTTGCAGAAGGCAAGCTCCAGTTGCAGCTGTGTTTGCAGGAAGTCCACAATTAATGGGTGTGATTAAATTATGCACCGGATGGATGGTGACAAGCTTGCCTCTTTACAATGATGATGATCTTCTCAAGAGAAATGAAAACGTGAGGCATTTTATATTCTACATTGGGATCTTTTTTATATGACGTTTTAGTATAGTTTTATAATGATGTTTATGTTCCTTGGGTTAGCTAGGAAAATCCAGACAATTTTAGAAGAGTTAATTAGTTTTAACTTTTTTAAAAGCTGTATGGTACATGTAACCAAGAGGGACCAACGTTAGAATATGAAGTTCTTTAGTGAAAAGTATTGATACGTTTCTAGGAGAAACATTGCATTTCCCACAAGGCTCCAAGGGACTAATGTGTAATAGTTTACAAAAGGAAACATCTTTGAGAATATCATTGTTCTCAAATTATTTCTTTTTTTAAAATATTTATTCATTTATTTGGCTGCACCAGGTCTTAGTCGCAGCATGTGGGATCTAGTTCCCTGACCAGGGATTGAACCTGGGCCCCCTGCATTGGGAGCTCAGAGTCTTAACCACCGGGCCAGCAGGGAAGTCCCTGTTCTCAAATTATTGAAGGAAGGCTTTCAGTTAATGTCTTTATACACTTTGTATTTCTAAGCCAAAATTCTATTATTGCTTATAAAGCACTGATTTAGTTTTCAGTATGGGCTATTGTTAATAACTTAGTATGTATAACGTTTGTATGGTATCTAATTGCTTCTCTTTCAGAGAATTTATAACTTTGAATGTTTGGTTTAGATGTAAATGTAACTTCATATCTGAAGTAATGACCAATTGAACCTGAGTTCTAAATATTCTGTTTTACAATTGGAGAGAATTTCACATAGTTTTTAAGTATACTCTATGCTCAGTAGGAAGTATAGCAGCATAGAAGTTAGACTGTAGTACAGAGGTTAGACTCTTAAGAATCCAGACTCTAGAATTAGAGTATCTGGACTCAAATGATACCTCTGCCAGGTACTAGCTTGTGACCTTGAGCAAGTTTCTGAATCTGGAAATAATAGTTCTGACCCTAATTCTACTTAGGAGAATTAAATAAGATAATATACTCTGTCTGAAACAGTAAAATTTATATGTTAGCTATTATTATAGTTATGTACTATTAATATTATAATTCTTTGTGTACACACACATTCACATATAATCACAAAGTACAGAGAGGAGTTCAAAAGCAGAAGCAAGTCAGTTCTGCCTACAAAAATCCAAGTCTTCATAAGGGGCATTCCTTTGATCACAGATTTGAAGGATGACTTAGAAACTTGTTTGGCAAAAGAATACAATGATTCCAGATTGAAAAAGTCCCAAGAGCCATGAAATTTGTTTGGCCATGAAACTATAAAATAAGAGGCCAAATTCTGAAGGACCTGGAAGGTCATACTTAAGAATTTAGACTTACCCTTCAAGGCATTTGGGAGTTATCAAAGACCTTGTGTAAACCTAGGAATGCTTAGGAGTTATTAAGGTTATAGAACAGCTGAAGTGAGGGAGAGGTCAGAGATGGGGAGGTCTACCTGGGAGTGATTTATCTAGGAGACAGCAGTCACCTCTGATTAATATTCGCTGCACTTGGAAAGTTAGCGCTGCTTAGAAGATATATCACAGCGTATTCCTAAACATAGTGTATGTTCAGTCACTCAGTCATGTCCGACGCTTTGCAGCCCCATGGACTGGGGCCTGCCAGTCTCCTCTGTCCTTGGAATTTTTCCAGGCAAGAATACTGGAGTGGGTTGCCATTTCCTACTCCAGGGATCAAACCTGCATCTCTTAGGTCTCCTGTATTGGCGGGCAGATTCTTTACTACTAGTGCCACCTGGGAAGCTCCTTCCTAAACTGTATTTTTGGTGGATTTAAACCAACGGACTCTGACATGTCTTTGTTTTCTTTGTTATTTTTTGATTGTTTTTTAATAATTTTGATTGTTTTTTGAATTCTAATACAGAATTTCAGAATCACATGTAATTAGGTCAGACTTCTAATTACATTCTAGTTAAATTTAAACATTTTAGAGTTTTCAGTTTTATGTGAATAGGAACCAGTTTTTCCCCAAAATCTTCATCTTTCTCTGTGGTGTCTAGTACATAGCAAAGTACTGAATAAATTTGTTTTTAAATTAAAATTCAAATTGAAGTCCATAAATGATATCATTTCATTTGAATTGGACACCACAATCTATAATTCATAACATGTGACTAATCTTTGTATAATCTCCTAGGCCAGTGATTCTCAAACCTGGAATGACGGTGCCCCCAAAGGACATTTGGCAATGTCTGGAGACATTTTCTGTTGTTACAGCTGGAGAAGGGGTTCTACAGGCACCTGGAGGGTAGAGACCAGGGAACGCCTAAACATCCTTCAGTGTGCAGAACAGCCTCTGTTTGGCCCCAACAAAGAATTATATGGCCCAAAATGTTAATAGCACCGAGGTTGAGAAATCACACCCTAGTCTAACAGTAAGGTTATTGCCACTGCATCGAAGTCGTTTTTTTTTTTAACATGCCCCAGTAGTATGTTACAGTTGTCCCAGACTTGAAAATAAATAAAAATGTGTATAAAATGCACAAATAAGTATAAACTGGATAGGATAGAACCATTCACATGAACTTACGTAGCAGGTGAAGTGAGTGAGAAACTTCCTCTTGTTGTAGTCACATTTTGTTTCCCACAGAATGAGTATCTAGCATGTCAGTGGACATTGGACCTGAAGTTGCTGTATAGACAGCAACCAGAACATGTCATCAGCAGCTGCTGAATATCCTGCAGATAGACTGGGATCTTGTCCAGTCTAGATTACAAACCTCAGGATTTTCAGGACAGTCTGTGATACTTTTGGCCTAACTTTTATGGCTTTTCCAAGTTTAGCATTTCAGAAAAACTGAAAAAAAATATTATCTATTGTAATAAGATCCAGAACTTATTATCTAATAAGGTCAGCAAAATTATAATGAATAAAAGACCATGTAATCAAGGCATGGGTTTTAAGCATGCCTATTCTTTAAGTATTGTGACAAGGGTCAAATTATTTTTAACCTCACTGACTTTATCTCATGTATAAAATGAGTATTAAATACTTTGGTACATGGTAATAAAAATACTAAAGAAACTATTATAACTCACTAATAAAAAGACCACCCAATTAAAAAATGGACAAAGGCCATTTGCAACAACATAGATAAACATTGAGGGTAAGTCAGATAGAAAAAGACAAATACTGTATGATATCACTTACTTATGGAATCTAAAAAAGCTGACCACATAGAAACAGAAGAGTTGTGGTTGCCAGGGGTTGAGAGACCTCGAGAAATGAGGAGATATTGGTTAAAGAGTACAAACTTCTAGTTATAAGATGAATGAATTCTAGGGATTTAATGTACAGCATGGTGGTTGAAGTTAATAATACTGTATTGTAGATTTGAAAGTTGTTGGGAATAGATCTTAGATGTTTTCCACACACACACAAAAATGGTGATTATGTAACATGATGCAAATATTAGCTAAAGCTATGGTGCTAAATTATTTTGCAGCATATGAGCTTATCAAATAAACATGTTATACACCTTAAACTCATACACAATACTGTATGTCAATTATATCTCAATAGCATTGAAGGAATGGACAAAGGACTTGAATGGATATTTCTCTAAAGAAGATACGCAAGTAGCCAAGAGCAGATGGACATAAGCTTACTGAGGACGGGAATCAAGTCTTAGTGAATATCTTTATTTTCCACAGATAGTACTAAGAACACAGTAGATGCTCAGTGTTTGGTAAATAGAAGTTTTAAATGTCTTTTAAAGTTGTTGTTTTAATTATTTTCTTTCAGATCTATCAAATCTATTCAAAGCGATCTGCTGAGGATATTTATAAAATACTGACATCGTACAAGGCTAGTTACCTAATAATAGAAGATGCTATCTGCAATGAAGTGGGAACCATGAGAGGCTGTCGGGTTAAAGATTTATTAGACATTGCAAATGGCCATGTAAGTAACTATTTGTAAAGTTTTAATTATTTTTTTTGAGAAAAATGACTTTATTTAAACTTGTAATGGTATCTTCAAACTTTATTTTTTGGAACTTGACTAAGAATATAATTAAAAATTAGGTAATAGTGTGTGCATGTGCTCAGTTGTGACCGACTTTTTCAACCCTGTGGACTGCAGCCTGCCACGCTCCTCTGTCCATGGAATTTCCCGACAAGACTGGAGTGGGTTGCCATTTCCTTCTCTAGAGATGTAATAGTCGGGGAGCTCATTAAAACTAGTTTGAAGTGTTTTTGCAATGTACAAAAGAAAAGTTGGACAATTTTGGGAAAAAAAAATTTTTATCAATACCTGGACTCATAATAGTTGCCTGTACTTGTACATGTTATACATTTATGAACAAAATATAATTTGTTTTGAATTATGATTTTAACATTGTAATATAAAGAGCAGCTGTTTGTTTTGTTATATTCTTATGTTGAGAAATTTCTTATAATTTGATTCATATCTAGAAAAATTGATTATTAAATTAACATAGTCTTGTACATTGAGCCCCTATTATCCACAAAATTAGTGTATTCAGAACTACTTAGTTGTTAGGATTTAACTGTATTTTCAGGTTTCATTGATTTTGCTCTTTTACCAAGCTGCATTACTTCTCAGCCTAAAGTGTATATACCAAATACCCGGCAACTAAAACTTGACAGGGGAGTTTGTCAATATTTAGTAATTAGTGTTTGTATATCTGGTAATTAGGCACTAGAAAGGGTACCTTTACTCCTGGGAAAGTTGGGGGTAGAGGATCTTAAAGTTTAGTAGGTCATTCTTACTTAGATTGCATATTCTATTCAGACTGAAGCCAAGACTTCTCTGTCTCTCCCTAATTAAATAGCTTTGTCATAATCATCCCAGGCCAGTTTGGAGGTGAGGAATTAGTTTGTTGCTTTGGGGGTTTTTTTGGCCATGCTCCGAGTCATGTGGGATCTTAGTTCCCCACATACCAAACCTGCGCCCTTGCCAGGAGAGTCAGAGAAATTGACCTCATGACCTCTTAATCTTATAAACTTACTCTGTTTTCTGCTGCATGTATTTTGAATTTTCTCTCTTGGTGCTTGATGTCTGTGATCTTTGGCTTAATTGGTGACAGAATGGAATTTTATTAAACATCAGGTATTGGGTAATAAGAGTAGGAGATGGCAACCCACTCCAGTATCCTTGCCTGAAAATCCCATGGACAGAGGAGCCTGGCAGGCAACAGTCCATGCGGTCGCAAAGAGTCAGACACGGCTGAGTGACTGAGCATGCACACATTTAGTAATTACTGCTGTATTGCTTTCTGGAGTTTTATTCTGCTCTTGGACCCCTCTTGCTCCATTTTGAAGGTCAGGTTACTTCTTTCATGTAATTCCAGGCACAGGCTTAAAGCTAATCTCTTCTTTTATTCTTAAAGTTGATTCTCTGACATCTCTCCAAGGCATTAGGATATTTAGTGTTTTTATTGTAGGAAACTCTTTGAGCTAGCTAAGCTGTCTTAGTGAACGTCATTAAAGTGAAAATGTAAAGGATTTACTGATTAGTCACAGAAACGTACTGTTGTGAGTCAGTCCTGCACAAGGAGAATTTGAACATACATTAAGAATATATGTCCCCCCAAAAAAAGAATATATGTCCATTTCTTAGCTTCGGTAAGCTCCATGATAAGATTCTTCAGATGAATGATAATAGACTATGGGGACATAGCCTTCTAAATTTTAGGATTAAATCTTTTAAAAATTGGAAAACACTCTATGCTGGTTTCTCAATCTCAGTGGGAAGTTCAAGAATTTACTGAACATGGTAACTCTTATGAAGAGGCTTTTATTTGCTGAATAATATGAGATGTTTGCTAACCAATGTGAGATACTCCATATTTAACAAAAATACGTATATTTTATATAAATATAGTCACTTGTACCTTGATTGCATTTCTCCTATAACCTTTTTAACATTATGTTTCATTCATTTGATAGGTGGTTTGTGAAGAAGGTGACAAGTTAACCTACTCAAAACATGGACGATTTTGTCATGAGGTCAAAATTAACTATTCTCCCTATGTGAATTATTTCACTAGAGTATACTGGAACAGATCCTACTTTGTATATAAAATCAACACTGTGATATCCTTTCAGTCTTGAAAAATAGCAGAGCCTACATTTCAAAGACTTATATATCACCTGAAGTAAAATGCAATTTTCTTCTACGTACGTGGTATCTTTTGGAAATCAGAGTGTGGACATCGAAATGTTGCTGCTGATTTTCCCTCCTGCTATTAACTGGATCTAGAGTTCTGTGGGGGAAAGAAGATCAAACATTACCATGCTTCAGTAAAATGTAAAATCTGCCACACTACAGTATTCCAGCCAGGTGTTTTCGTTATTGCTGTGATTTTACCTTCCAAACTGTTGTAAAATTTTCCTCATAAATCTTCTTTCCATCATAACATTAGTCTTGAATTTGAATATGTTCAAGGTCAGAGTATGTCTCAAACATAACATTTAACAAATACTTAATGTGATATAATTATAGAATAGAAGGAAAGAATTATCCTTACCCTCAAGGCAGTCTCTGAAGGTATTTCATGATGTATAATAGAGCTGAAATAAAAAACTAATTTAAATGTTCACTGAGAATTTGTGGCATTTAAATTAAAGTGGAAATTATATAAAGGAAGATGATTTTTAAGGATATACATTGATATATCCAGATTTTCCATGATATAGCTCTCATCATCTGCTGCTTATATGTGAGCACTTTCTTAATAACATATAGTGCTTGATATTGCATTTCACTACATTATGACTATTAAGTGGTTAGTTTTTTCACTTACACCCATAAATTTGATACCAATTTAATCATGATAAAACAGTTAACTCTTGTTACCTATGTATTTTTTAAAACAGATATTTAAAAGAATGTTGCTTTAAGTTAAAAAATAAAAGAACGTTCAAGGTTTTTAAAAATATGGATATGGAGTATATAATCTATTCATGTGTTTTCTATTGAAGTATGAAGTAAAAACTTAAATCTTTATCAGAATGAGACTGTATCCACTAAAGTGAGCAGCAATTTCTGGAGATATGTGTAGATGCTGTTCAATATGCCTCTGCATAGACAAGCATTTGTAGTAAAACACAAGTACTGTTCCTTGTGAAATGGCGGTACGGTTTTCAACATTAAGAACAAAATGACAATTATCATAAAATTCACAGCATAGTTCCACAATATGTGTTCCTTTTTATCTTTTTAATTATATTTAAAAGAAATTCTATAATGATTAATGTGGCCTTATAAAGAGTTTCAGGGTGGGTGTATCACTTTAATAAGATGGGATGCATGTTTAGTTTTACCTTATACACCTGTTAAGTGAACAGATTTAAAATTTTTTCACTGGTTAGAGTGCTGCAAAAATTGCAGTTTCATCACTCTAAATTACTATATTAGAAAGGAGCATCTTTCCATTATCTTTATGTTCTGTAATTTTATCTTTTAAAAGTACAAGAGCTCATGCATTCTTAGACTAACTCAGATGTTTTGTTCTTTTGGAGCTTAAGAATTGTTTGATGGCAATATCGTATGTCTGGTGCATTAGTTTTATTGGTTCTCATGTCATTCTTTTATGTAATGTTTAGCAATTAATATTAAGATAGCTACAGGCAGGCTATTTCAGCTTCTCTGTACATCTTAATAGTGAGTCACTAGTATTTAGCTTCAAGCCTTATAAAAATATTACCATACTTACCTAAGTACACAGTGTATAGAAGTACATGGTAGTACTTATGATTAGATGCAGCATGTAAAACAATGTAATTGAAAAGATGGCTTGCATATTTTGAAAGGGAAATAGAACAACCTACTTTCTATGTAGCATGAAATATTTAATTGAATTTTTACTGATTTATTTATGATCAAATACGCTGAATTTTGATTGTTGTGTGTTTTTTGTTTTTGACATATTAGTAAGTTGCTTTTGCTTCTATCAACTTATTTCTTAAACAGGTTTGGAGCAGCTTTTAATTGATTTTTTTAAATAATGAATTTTTCATTTAGCATCAGTTGAAAAGAAAACTGTGAGCTTTATTATAGAAATAATAATACTGGGTATGGAAGATAAGCTTATTTGCTTCTATTTTAGCTCTAATTAAAACAATAGTGCTAGAAAACTTGAGCATTTAATTTCCTTACTTATTTGTAGAGTAACAAATGATTAAGAATTCTGCAAGTAGTTCTATTTTGGTTAGGTTGGACAGTAGAGATCTACTGTGAAAGGGGCAGAGTTTGTGGGCTTGGGGTGGAAGGAATTTCTTAAAGAAATACAAAACATACTTTGCCCTTGATGTTGCAACACCATGGAAATAAGTGCCTTAACCTCCTTATTTCAAAGTTTACTTTTTATTATTAAAAAATTATCCATTTCTTTCATTTTCATAAGAAAATTTTGGTAACTTTTCCCTCATCATTAAGCACAGAGAAAGAATCCTCAGTATACTATTTTCACTATTAACTTTAATTCATTAGTAACCAAATCTTTGTTAAAGGTAGTGATGGGATTTCTAGCCTGCTAAATTAATTTATTTAGCTTCCCAAATGCCAAACAATCCAACAGATAAAACTTACTTGATAAGATGTCTGATATTGACTGTGCTGGTTTATATGTTTTCTGACTTTGGCATCTGTGTTAGACTGGTAGAGTTTTACAACCTAGGGAGTATGCATTGCACTTATAAATTTTTTTCTTCATTACTTTCTGAGTATGTAGACAGCATGTTTTTTGGGGACATTAACTCATGTTGCTAAAAGCCTAATATGACACTCTTCCATACAGTCTAGATTGACTAAGGGAAAAGTAGAGATGGAGGTCAAAGTCTGTTACAAGTTGGGGCTGAAAAATATGCTTTAAAAGATAGGCTATTAATTTATTGAACAGCGAACAGCCATCTTATTAAACTTTGTCATTTGAGGGAAATCAATTGCTTTTTGCCTTTTTTTATTTTTGAGCTGTTAAAAATTTTGATACCTTTTGGGGGTAAAAGTAGTATCTCTTTTTTTTAGTATGTCTCTTTATAAAATTATTGGGTTTTTAAAAGTTGTAGGTAAATCAGTTTTATTTATAAATATACTTTATGTGCATGAATATTTAAAGGGTATTTAAATGAACTGTTCTGTGCATTTAAGAACCTATTGTAAAGCAAAATGGCTACTGCATCTCAATCTATTTTCTCATTTGTCCATTTTTTATTTTTTTGTCCAGTTTTTAAAATATACTTTATTATTACTGTTTGCTGATAGTTTTAGATCACAATATATATTACAATTACAGCCTGAAAAGTTGTAATTAAAATTGAACAATTTCTTATTGAAATAATAGCTCATTGTTTAGTTTTTGAATGTATAAAATTAACAATTTAAATAAAATTAGATGTGAAAATTGCAAAGGAATATATTTGATTCAACTATTCTCCATCCATTAAGATTTCTAAACAATACATTTGTTTACCATAATTTTTAAAAAAGGACATTTTAGAACCAGATTTGCTGAATTTAGCATAAAGGACTTTCTGAGTCATTTCTGTTTTGTAAGTCTCTTAGAATTAGCACATTCTAATTTTGGCAAATACAATCTTATGTGCAGTTTTATAAGAGATACATTGAACATCTGACCACAATAGTGGAATAATAGCATCAAAAAGAAACATACATTCCACACTTCTAATGTATGATATCTAATAAATAATCCCTTCGTATTTTAAATTAATAGCTTTTGTACAGCTATTTAACAAAGATGAATACAACTGAATTTTCTTTTTTTAATTTATTTGCTTTTAGTTGAAGGATAATTGCTTTAGAATACTGTGTTGGTTTCTGGTGTACAGCGTCATGAGTGAACTGTAGGTACACATATATCTCCTTCTTAAACTGCTCCCCAACTTCCACCCCATCCCACCCCTCTGGGTTGTCACAGAGCATTGGGGTGAACTCCCTGCATCATACAGCAAATTCCCACTGGCTCTCTGTTTTGGTGGCTCAGCTGGTGAAGAATCTGCTTAAAATGCGGGAGACCTAGGTTGGGAAAATCCCCTAAAGAAAGGAACGGCTACCCACTCCAGTATCCTGGGCTGGAGAATTCCACGGACTGTATAGTCCATGGTGTGGCCAAAAGTCAGATGTTACTGAGCAGCTTTAACTCTCACTTTTGGTCTGTTTTACGTGTGGTGATGTATGTGTTTCAGTGCTTCTCAGTCTGTTCCACCCTCTCCTTCCCGTGCGGTGTCCACACATCTGTTCTCTGTGTCTGCACCTCTGCTGCTGCGCTACAAGCAGGTTCATCAGTACCATCTTTCTAGATTCCCTGTATGTATATTCATGTACTATATTTGTTTTTCTCTTTCTGACTTATACTTCACTCTGTATAGCAGGCTCTAGGTTCATCCACCTCTCTAGAACAAACTCAAATTTGTTCCTTTTTATGGCTGAGTAGTTACCCATTATATATATATATGTATCACAACTTTTTTTTTTTTTTTTTTACAACTTCTTTATCCATTCATCTCTCAATGAACATCTAGGTTGCTTCCATGTCCCAGCTAATGCATATGGTGCTGCAGTGAACCTTGGGGTACATGTGTCCTTGAAAATTGTGGTTTTCTCAGGGTAGATACCCAGAACTGGGATTTCTGAGTCATTTCTGGTCATTCCTAGTTTTTTAAGAAATTTACACACTGTTCTGTATAGCCACTGTTCTCCACAGTGGCTGTATCAATTTACATTCCTGCCGCAGTGCAAGAGTTCCCTTTTCTCCACATCCTCCTCAGCATTTATTGTTTGTCGATTTTTTGATGATAGTCATTCTGACCAGTCTGAGGTGATAGCTCATTGTCATTTTGATTTGCGTTTCTCTAGTAATCAGCATTGTTGAGCATTTTTTCATGTGTTTGTTAGCCATCTAATACAATTGATTTTATGTATGTTGACTTTTGAATGGTATCTACAACAATGTATATTTAGATTATGTTCTTCCTGTAACTAAGGATACATCTTCACAAAAGAATACAAGTTAATTTCGGTAAACAGAAATCCTTTTAAAAAGTTGGGTTATAAACTAGTTTATAATATTAAATGTACTTTTATCAAGAATGAA